GTGTTGTGGCCACCGGTACCCACGCCAGACGCCACGACCTGCCCTGCCCACCACGCCACCACAACACGGGACGAACGACGTATTTTTCTTTAAATAATAGTTTTTAACGATTGAATGCAAATTTAGAAGCTGTTATAAAAAAACTTGACATGTAGCAGCTTATCGGCATGCCAATGGTTGACTGCAAGCAGAATGTTTGAATATCATACTCAAAGTATCGTTTTTTAAAGTACAATACATGTTCGAGCTCGAATTATCGTGATATTATTTTTTTTGTTGCAACATACATGCATGATCCTAGTATAGATTAAAAGATCTCTGTTTATCGGCTTTAATAAAAGTGGGTGGTCTGTTTTTTTTAACCCATCACGTTGGTATAACAGTCAGTTCAAGCGAAGGAAAACCAATTACAAGTACCAATATTTTCTTAAAAAACATGTACCTAAATCCCGGACGAGATCCAGTCGGCAACCGGCCAGCAGCAACAGTAGCCGACACCCACACAACGATTGGCTCCGGCCTGCGGCCACCTTTTTGCTCAGGTACCCTGTCGGCCTCCCACGGACCGACTAGACCTGTCTGCCCGCCCGTGGCCGACATGCTGGTTTTTCCAGGCGTGCAGCTGCCACGTGTGCCTATCGGCTGGTGAGCCCCATGTGCGCCGCTGCCACGTGTGTCTATCGGCTCGTGAGCTTCCAGTTTGCTGTCACCTCCATGAAAACCATCAATTGTACCTCCATTTGCTTAATTGCTTGGCATGCACCTCGATGGAAATGAAGAATTCAAACCCTAGTGCTAATACCCTTGGCTCTTCCTGGCTTGCATTTGTCATTACATAAGAGCTCCACCACCTATGACAGTGATGCCAGTGGTGATGCCTACTTGAGCCAAGTACACCAAACCGATTCAAAGATTCCTAACAGTGATGCAACCAACAAGCAAATCGTATCAGCAAACTACTCCTAGTTAATGCTTGTATGCTGTCAATTTTGGGTACCACAGACTTCAAATTGACTCTTTCTTGCTGATCCAGTTGGATCTGATCAAATGCTGGGTTGGGTCGGGTTTGGATCAGACCGAGAAAAAATGTCACGTCAAAATCTTTGGCTCAAGCCTGGCCCAACACATTGTCAGGTTGAATCAGGCTATTTATTGGATTTTTATTTGGTGGGGTGGCGTTGGGTCGAGTCGTAGGCCGAAAATCATGACTCTAAATTCTCAAAAAGAAAATCATGACTCTAAAACTTATATGAATAATGGAGTGGATAATATCCATACATTTTTTAAGAGATATATTACTAAGATGTTTTGGGGTACAAAACTGCAAATGTAATGATGCGTGTGCAGTGTGCTTAGTGCATTAAGAGTGTGCATGTGTAACAGGGTCACTCGCGCAGCATCCGCTTCACCATCTGCAGCATCGGCGCGAACCTGGTGGTGTTGAGCCGGATGTTCTGCTCCCGCCAGTAGAACTTCGCGTTGTTGTCGTTCCTGTAGAACACGTCGGGGTCGGCGATCACCGGGTGGTCCTTGCCGTACCTGTCGTACAGCGTGCTCTCCTTGGCGGCGATGTTGTACGCGACGTGGCGGAGCCCCATGTGCGTCGCTGGGGCGCCGAGGAACCCTTTCCCGTAGGGCTCCATCTTCCCCCATGGGATGACCTGCAGCACCACGGCCCCCGCGCGCAGGAACACCATGTTGGTCAGCCCGGCGCCATGCGCGCCCACGAGCACGTCGCACACGTCCACCTCGCGCGCCACCGCGCCCACGTCCGCCTAGGACGCCGCCTAATCCATGCGCGCCACATCGAAGCCGGCGCGCTCGATCGCGTCCATGATCGCGCCTTGGTTCACGAACCGCCGCGTGCATCCCCATAGGATGAGCATGAGCCGCGGCCTCGTTCCACCACCGCCAAACTTGCACGGTAGCGCGATGCTGGCTCCGGGCGGAGGCAGGGGGTAGGCGGCTCGGACGAACTCGCGGAACTTGAGCATGTCGTACCCATTCGGGGCGCGCGCTGGGTCGATGTCGAAGTCGCGGTGGTGGCCGAGGAGGCCGACGACGAGGTGGGCGTAGCACCGCACGACGTCGCCGTCCACGTCGAGGTCCACCACGTCGTACCGCGAGATTAACAATATCTTAAAAAGATTGAAAAAAGCCACGACCTACGCCTACGCATCCGTTCTAGTGTTGTGGCCACCGGTACCCACGCCAGACGCCACGACCTGCCCTGCCCACCACGCCACCACAACACGGGACGAACGACGTATTTTTCTTTAAATAATAGTTTTTAACGATTGAATGCAAATTTAGAAGCTGTTATAAAAAAACTTGACATGTAGCAGCTTATCGGCATGCCAATGGTTGACTGCAAGCAGAATGTTTGAATATCATACTCAAAGTATCGTTTTTTTAAAGTACAATACATGTTCGAGCTCGAATTATCGTGATATTATTTTTTTTGTTGCAACATACATGCATGATCCTAGTATAGATTAAAAGATCTCTGTTTATCGGCTTTAATAAAAGTGGGTGGTCTGTTTTTTTTAACCCATCACGTTGGTATAACAGTCAGTTCAAGCGAAGGAAAACCAATTACAAGTACCAATATTTTCTTAAAAAACATGTACCTAAATCCCGGACGAGATCCAGTCGGCAACCGGCCAGCAGCAACAGTAGCCGACACCCACACAACGATTGGCTCCGGCCTGCGGCCACCTTTTTGCTCAGGTACCCTGTCGGCCTCCCACGGACCGACTAGACCTGTCTGCCCGCCCGTGGCCGACATGCTGGTTTTTCCAGGCGTGCAGCTGCCACGTGTGCCTATCGGCTGGTGAGCCCCATGTGCGCCGCTGCCACGTGTGTCTATCGGCTCGTGAGCTTCCAGTTTGCTGTCACCTCCATGAAAACCATCAATTGTACCTCCATTTGCTTAATTGCTTGGCATGCACCTCGATGGAAATGAAGAATTCAAACCCTAGTGCTAATACCCTTGGCTCTTCCTGGCTTGCATTTGTCATTACATAAGAGCTCCACCACCTATGACAGTGATGCCAGTGGTGATGCCTACTTGAGCCAAGTACACCAAACCGATTCAAAGATTCCTAACAGTGATGCAACCAACAAGCAAATCGTATCAGCAAACTACTCCTAGTTAATGCTTGTATGCTGTCAATTTTGGGTACCACAGACTTCAAATTGACTCTTTCTTGCTGATCCAGTTGGATCTGATCAAATGCAGGGTTGGGTCGGGTTTGGATCAGACCGAGAAAAAATGTCACGTCAAAATCTTTGGCTCAAGCCTGGCCCAACACATTGTCAGGTTGAATCAGGCTATTTATTGGATTTTTATTTGGTGGGGTGGCGTTGGGTCGAGTCGTAGGCCGAAAATCATGACTCTAAATTCTCAAAAAGAAAATCATGACTCTAAAACTTATATGAATAATGGAGTGGATAATATCCATACATTTTTTAAGAGATATATTACTAAGATGTTTTGGGGTACAAAACTGCAAATGTAATGATGCGTGTGCAGTGTGCTTAGTGCATTAAGAGTGTGCATGTGTAACAGGGTCACTCGCGCAGCATCCGCTTCACCATCTGCAGCGTCGGCGCGAACCTGGTGGTGTTGAGCCGGATGTTCTGCTCCCGCCAGTAGAACTTCGCGTTGCTGCCGTTCCTGTAGAACACGTCGGGGTCGGCGATCACTGGGTGGTCCTTGCCGTACCTATCGTACAGCGTGCTCTCCTAGGCGGCGATGTTGTACGCGACGTGGCGGAGCCCCATGTGCGTCGCTGGGGCGCCGAGGAACCCTTCCCTTAGGGCTCCATCTTCCCCCACGGGATGACCTGCACCACCACGGCGCCCGCGCGCAGGAACACCATGTTGGTCAGCCCGGCGCCGTGCGTGCCCAGGAGCACGTCGCACGCGTCCACCTCGTGCGCCACCGCGCCCACGTCCGCCCAGGACGCCGCCTCATCCATGTGCGCCACCTCGAAGCCGGTGCGCTCGATCGTGTCCACGATCGCGCCCTCGTTCACGAACTGCCGCGTGCGTCCCCGGAGGATGAGCATGAGCCGCGGCCTCGTTCCGCCGCCGCCAGACTTGCACGGTAGCGCGACATTGGCTCGTGGCGGCGGCAGGGGGTAGGCGGCTCGGACGAACTCGCGGAACGCGAGCATGTCGTACCCATTCGGGGGGGCGCTGGGTCGATGTCGAAGTCGCAGTGGTGGCCGCGGAGGCCGACGACGAGCACCTCACGACGTCGCCGTCCGCGTCGAGGTCCACCACGTCGTACCGTGAGATTAACAATATCTTAAAAAATATTGAAAAAAAGTCACGACCTACGCCTACGCATCCGGTCTAGTGTTGTGGCCACCGTTACCCACGCCAGACGCCACGACCTGCCCTAGCTACCACGCCACCATAACACGGGACGGACGACGTATTTTTCTTTAAATAATATTTTTTTAATGATCGAATGCAAATTTAGAAGTTATCACTATAACACAACATACTTTTGCCGACACTTTCTATTGTAGGCAAAGGGCACCTTTGCCGACAGTTAACAGAATCCCCGACACTTTATGTGTAGGCAAACGGTCCACCTACGCCGACAATTGAAACCTTTGCCGACAGTTAACCATTTGCCAACAGTTAAGACCTATGCCGACAGTTAAGACCTTTGCCGACAGTTTGTATGTTGGCCAAATCATTTCCAAGGTATTTTACAAACCAAACCCTGCCCAAAAAAAACTGTCGGCAAAACTGAATAGATATAATTACAATTAAAATAATTTGACAAATCCACTTTTGCTTAGAAGGCATCACATTGAACAAATTCACTTGATTTTTGTATAAATAATATATTAGATCTTCCATACATACACCAACTTCTGCTACATTCATAACCATTTTGGATTAAGCATTTTGAATTCTAGAGTATAACTTCTGCTACGTTTGGTGGTACAATGAAAGGAAGCATTTGGAAGTGAGAACTATCATTTTGAATCTACTTCATCTTCGCCATCCTTCAGATGCGCCTTGAGGCTCTGAATCTGAGGTTGGCCATTAACATTCTCCCAGATTGAATCAGTGCTTGGCAACTCGTATGCTTCCGATCTCAGTGACAGCGCAAACTCTGGTAGATCAGGAACCGATTGAAGTGTGCTGCACCAGGAAAGTAGTGAAATTACCACTAGAGCAAAACAATAAATATGAATGATATAGGTTGTTCATCTATGTTCTTGAGCCTAATTCAAGCAGACTACCATTTCAATTTTCAACGTGTTCTGAATATTGTTTTTGGGCAAAAGCAATTAGAATCAACAAACAACAACCTTCCAACTGTAAAATTTGCCATTTCAGATGTAGAGTTGGTCCTGGGATCTGGGGATTTACCTATTCTTGTTTTGCTCAAACAGATGCCCATACACTTGAAACTTCTTGTAAGCGACATCTGGAATTTTTGTGTGCATGTTTTTCATGACACCACAAGGAGGAGGTACCCTACGTACAATTGAATAAGTAAAAGATCCCGTCAGCACATATTTTGATTAATTTAACCTATTAGCTATGTTGGAGTAGTAATGTAGTATCAGACCTTGTGACAGGATTTGCCAAGCAGAAACTCAAGCAAGCCCTTTTGCTGTCTGAAAGTAGGTCATCAGCTGCAGAGAGGCAGCAGACTGCGCTGATATGGTTGGCCGGTTCACCGCCCTTGTCGAGTACGAGACCATGGTAGTAATATGCTACAGCCTGATGGGCAAGATAATAAATTAACATCAGAAATTCAGTCTTGTGTATCTGAAGGGATTATATATGTTGTGTCTTCAGACAACCTTATGACTAGTGGCAACCTTATGTCAAAAAGTTGGCAGAGTCGATACTTACCAAATTGTACCCAGATCCAGGCCCTATGACTAGTGACGAAGTAAGTTTTCTTTTAGTTGCAAAAATGGAAAACCCACCCTTTTCAAACTGCAAAAGTATATAAGATGAAGGATGAGCACTTGTCAACAGAAATAGTGTAGTTATGACATAAGCTTGGCCATTGAGTTCTATCTCTGAAGTGCCATATTATGCGAGAAATAACTGAACAAATATGTCCAACTAGTAAACTATATATATGTTTTAGCTCAGCAGTTAGAAGCACATTTCAATAAAGATGATAACTACCCAACTATTTTGAGAAAATAGCACAAACAAAGTACAAGAGCGCCAACATATAAAGTTCACACTGAAACATAAGCATACCCGATCACCCCAACTGACTCTTTTGCGTCCAGTGCTATATGTCTGGGCCAGGCCAGAAAGAGCATGTGTGTTTTCCTCTGTATTTTTAGACTTTTCACTGTCATCCTCAAAATATGTTGACCATTTACTCTGTCCTAGCTCTTTTAAGCCATCCAGGTCATCTTCTACTTCTGAGTTCCACTTCTCCTCTGGCTTTGAGAAGCCTGCAGACAATTATTATTTAACTATTTGTAAAACCTCAATGTGATGTCAATCTTAACTCAGCACATGGAATATATATATACTAGCTGTACACAAGAATGCACTAGATGACACTACAAAAGAAGGCCTGTTTCCGTGCAGATTCAAATTCTTGACAGCACATCCACACCCCTTTTTCCAATTAAAATTCCCATAGTATATATAGCTAAATTGACAAAGTGAATATGAGCGTATCAAGAAGTACAAACTTGGTCGATCCCCTAAATCATTATCCTAGTACATCACAAACTCTGCCTTGAAAAGGTGGTATACATCTAACCAATTAAATAAGTAGCAATATTGTTAAACGCTGAAAAAACTGAAGAAAATGTCAATTGTAGGACTGTGTTATGCAATACTGACCTGAGAAAAATAACTAACTTGCTCACAGGCTAGTCTCCTCTTTACTGACAATGTTGCCTTTTCACATTGAGAAGCCAACACTGTTTTGTGCAGTTGGACAGTACAAGCAAATTACAAATTCAGCACCATAATATCAAAAAAAAATATAGGTATAACAGGTGAACTTACCTGAGCCAATGCCTGAATTGAGATGGCCTCAAGCATACCCTCCTGCAAGTAACTAGGAAAACTCTTTCTGCAGTTGAAAGCACAAGGTATAGTAAGCACTTACTTAAAGGAACATTCAGAGGTGATAACTTCAAACTTCTCCTGGCTAATATGCATTGAAGGGTGAAAAAGACAAGCCGAAAAGTACGGATTATAAAACACTGTTACGGCTGAAACACTATTCAAGATGATGCCCGCTTTAAAAGAGATGAAGCAAGCGAGTACAAAAAATCATGTAATCTAAAAAGAGGATGCAATGTTCACTGTCCAAGATTGGTGTTTTTATTAGAACAACCTTTTTTTTGTTCGTCTGGACTGGTGGCATTGTCAGTCTAAAAAGGTCAACCAAATGGCAATGTCAGAAAACCATTCTTGAACATATGAAGTGAAATAGTATTTTACACCCAATGTACAGGTAGTTCATTGTGAACTTTGGTGACTGAATGAGAAGCTGGGAGACTGAACAGGATATAAGGTGGTCTTATCAATTCTTTGATTTATTAGGCTGTTGTAAACTCATAATTGAAACTTGTTTGGTATCGCTAAGCTGAAGAGTCCACCTATTGAGAATATACAAGCATTCTTTCAAAACAATGCCAGCAGTCAGTTACCAGTACAAGTAACGTTCAATGTCAAATACATCCTTCAATACAATAAGTTCCGCAGAAAGCATGCATATATTCCCCATCTTATCACTGACTAAACTTGATAAGAAAATGGGACAAACTTGGCAATATGTACAAACAAATCGCATAGAGAGAAGATAAACAAGAGAGCACATGCATGGCAAGATCAGCACACTTGATGCTAAAAAATTAAATCAATTTCACCACACTTGATGCTAAAAATCGTCTCACCACAAGCCATCAACAGGATCTATAGGGAAATTTAGTCTAGTTTTTAGAAACCAAAATCATCACATCACAGATCACACACAACCTGCAATTCTATGCCAAATGGAGAGACAAAGTTCATAAGAAAAGGAGAGCATACCAATCAAGCAATGACAGTAGAAGAGCAGATGAAGACTAGAAGGCCAACTTGCATGTGCTCCCTGTAGATAATATTATCAACGCTAATTAATCACACAAGGCCATACAGATAAGGCGAAAACCTGAGCACAAGAAAACTTACTTCCAATCTACAGTTCGTGACGACTTGTGTACAAAGAAAAATCGAAGAGTTGAATCCTTTAGTGCTTCCTTATTGGATATTAATCAACATGCACAAGAAAGAAAGAAAAACTCAGAACTGGTCTTTTTGCAACGAGGACACATGTATGCATTTCAATAGTTCCAAGACTAACGTATACTTGCACTTGCAGCTTAAAGTTCAATTGATTCCCTTCTCTCTTTTTTATATAGAACAGTCACATCATGTTTTTCGCATAAAGGACTAAAGTAAAATGACTATAAATTGCCATCAGTGTGAATTTTGTCTTAATACTTGAAATAAGTTGCAGATCCGGCACAACAAAACTTACATGCAAGTGATGGATTGTGATGTGTACAAGATATTGAATCCAGCTGATTCCTCTGCAAAATCAACTAAAGAAGTAAACATCGCATCTAAATCGGGTTCCTTCTCCATAGAGGGGAAGAGATGTGGATCTAGATTGAATGAAAGTTTGGCAAGAGAAGCAACACAAACCTTGAATCTTTCAGTCCTTTCTCACATTTGTCTCGTCCTTTCTGCCACCAAGAAAAAAGTACAAGAAAATTAGTTGTCCCCAAACCCTAGCACACAGGGGAATCGGATGGAAGGAAAGGGATGCCTCCCCAAACCCTAGCACATGGGGAATGGGATGGAAGGAAAGGGATGCCGAGGTGATGCACCGGATGCGGAGGGGATCGAGGATGCAGTGGTGGTAGCCCTCTTGCTTGCCGGGCGGTGGCCTAGGGTCTGTGGCGGCCGTCCCTTGGTGGCGGGGTCTAGGGCCGCAGCCTGGGTGGCGGGATGTCTTTGGGGCGGGCGGGTCAGGCGGCGGGGAGCTGGGGCGACGGAGGGTTGCGGCGGCCGTCCCTTGGGCGGCGGGTCTGGGGCCGTGGCCTAGGGGTGGCGGGATGTTTGGGAGACGTCGGGCTAGGGCGGATGGAAGCCGGGTGACGGCGGGCTGGGGCGGCGATGGCTAGGTGGCGCTGTCTCCGTCGGCCTTCGACGGCATGCGCGGCTGGAGCGACGGCTTGGGCGGCGAGGTACGCTGGGTTGGAGCAAAGGCTTCAAGCGGCGTGGACTGTGTGGGTGGACGGGAGGATTGGGTCTGCTGACTGTTTGTTTTATTGGGCTCAATATTTCGCTCGCGCTTCAATCTCCCGCAGCAGTATTTAACATCTACTCGGTTGTGCGCCTACCCCTTTTAACGACACTTTGAGAGTGGATGCATTAGGCTACGACGACAATTTTTTTTGTCTATAACTTTCGCCGACACTTTTATCGTTGGGAGGCCAAACGCCGACATATAAGGTGTAGCCTTAGGGTACTTTTGGCGACAGTTTATATGACGCTAAAAGATGACACAATTGCCAACATAAAATGTGTTGTTCAAACCCTAGATTTACCAACACCTAAGTGTAGGGAAAAGTGGGTCATGGTGTAGTGTGTTATAAAAAAACTTGACATGCAGCAGCTTGTCGGCATACCAATGGTTGACTACAAGCAGAATGTTTGAATATCATACTCAAAGTATCATTTTTTAAAGTACAATACATGTTCGAGCTCGAATTATCATGATATTATTTTTTTGTTGCAACATACATGCATGATCCTAGTATAGATTAAAAGATCTCTGTTTATCGGCTTTAATAAAAGTGGGTAGTCTGTTTTTTTTAACCCATCATGTTGGTACAACAGCCAGTTCGAGCGAAGGAAAACCAATTACAAGTACCAATATTTTCTTAAAAAAACATGTACCTAGATCTCGGGCGAGATCCAGTCGGCAACCGGCCAGCAGCAACAGTAGACGACACCCACACAACGATAGGCTCCGGCCTGCGGCCACCTTTTTGCTCAGGTACCGTGTCGGCCTCCCACGGACCGACTAGACCTGTCCGCCCGCCCGTGGCCGACATGCTGGTTTTTCCAGGCGTGCAGCTGCCACGTGTGCCTATCGGCTGGTGAGCCCCATGTGCGCCGCTGCCACGTGTGCCTATCGGCTCGTGAGCTTCCAGTTTGCTGTCACCTCCATGAAAACCATCAATTGTACCTCCATTTGCTTAATTGCTTGGCATGCACCTCGATGGAAATGAAGAATTCAAACCCTAGTGCTAATACGCTTGGCTCTTCCTGGCTTGTATTTGTCATTACATAAGAGCTCCACCACCTATGACAGTGATGCCAGTGGTGATGCCTACTTGAGCCAAGTACACCAAACCGATTCAAAGATTCCTAACAGTGATGCAACCAACAAGCAAATCGTATCAGCAAACTACTCCTAGTTAATGCTTGTATGCTGTCAATTTTGGGTACCACAGACTTCAAATTGACTCTTTCTTGCTGATCCAGTTGGATCTGACCAAATGCAGGGTTGGGTCGGGTTTGGATCAGACCGAGAAAAATGTCACGTCAAAATCTTTGGCTCAAGCCTGGCCCAACACATTGTCGTTTGAATCAGGCTATTGGGGGGGGGGTTGGGGTCGAGTCATAGGCCGAAAATCATGACTCTAAATTCTCAAAAAGAAAATCATGACTCTAAAACTTATATGAATAATGGAGTGGATAATATCCATACATTTTTTAAGAGATATATTACTAAGATGTTTTGGGGTACAAAACTGCAAATGTAATGATGCGTGTGCAGCGTGCTTAGTGCATTAAGAGTGTGCATGTGTAACAGGGTCACTCGCGCAGCATCCGTTTCACCATATGCGCGAACCTGGTGGTGTTGAGCCGGATGTTCTGCTCCCGCCAGTAGAACTTCGCGTTGCTGCCGTTCCTGTAGAACACGTCGGGCTCGGCGATCACTGGGTGGTCCCTGCCATACCTATCGTACAGCGTGCTCTCCCCGGCGGCGATGCTGTACGCGACGTGGCGGAGCCCCATGTGCGTCGCTGGGGCGCCGAGGAACCCTTCCCAGTAGGGCTCCATCTTCCCCCACGGGATGACCTGTACCGCCACAGCGCCCGCGCGCAGGAACACCATGTTGGTCAGCCCGGCGCCGTGCGCGCCCATGAGCACGTCGCACGCGTCCACCTCGCGCGCCACCGCGCCCACGTCCGCCCAGGACGCCGCCTCATCCATGTGCGCCACCTCGGCCGCGGCGCTCGATCGCGCCCTCGTTCACGAACCGCCGCGCGCGACCGGAGGATGAGCATGAGCCGTGGCCTCGTTCCGCCGCTGCCGGACTTGCACGGTAGCGCGACGCTGCTCTCGGCGGCGGCGGTAGGGGGTAGGCGGACAAACTCGCGAACGCGAGCATGTCGTACCCATTCGGGTGCGCTACCGGTCGATGTCGGTCGCGGTGGTGGCCGCGAGGCCGACGACGAGGTGGGCGTAGCACGCACGACGCCGCCGTCGTCGTCGGTCGAGTCGCATCATGAGATTAACAATATCTTAAAAAATATTGAAAAAAGTCACGACCTACGCCTACGCATCCGGTCTAGTGTTGTGGCCACCAGTACCCACGCCAGACGCCACGACCTGCCCTGCCCACCATGCCACCACAACACGGACGGACGACGTATTTTTCTCTAAATAATATTTTTTTAATGATTGAATGCAAATTTAGAAGCTGTTATAAAAAACTTGACATGTAGCAGCTTATCGGCATACCAATGGTTGACTACAAGCAGAATGTTTGAATATCATACTCAAAGTATCGTTTTTTAAAGTACAATACATGTTCGAGCTCGAATTATCGTGATATTTTTTTTGTTGCAACATACATGCATGATCCTAGTAAAGATTAAAAGATCTCTGTTTATCGGCTTTAATAAAAGTGGGTGGTCTGTTTTTTTTAACCCATCACGTTGATATAACAGTCAGTTCAAGCGAAGGAAAACCAATTACAAGTACCAATATTATCTTAAAAAACATGTACCTAAATCCCGGTCGAGATCCCGTCGGCAACCGGCCAGCAGCAACAGTAGACGACACCCACACAACGATAGGCTCCGGCCTGCGGCCACCTTTTTGCTCAGGTACCGTGTCGGCCTCCCACGAACCGACTAGACCTGTCCGCCCGCCCGTGGCCGACATGATGGTTTTCCCAGGCGTGCAGCTGCCACGTGTGCCTATCGGCTGGTGAGCCCCATGTGCGCCGCTGCCACGTGTGCCTATTGGCTCGTGAGCTTCCAGTTTGCTGTCACCTCCATGAAAACCATCAATTGTACCTCCATTTGCTTAATTGCTTGGCATGCACCTCGATGGAAATGAAGAATTCAAACCCTAGTGCTAATACGCTTGGCTCTTCCTGGCTTGTATTTGTCATTACATAAGAGCTCCACCACCTATGACAGTGATGCCAGTGGTGATGCCTACTTGAGCCAAGTACACCAAACCGATTCAAAGATTCCTAACAGTGATGCAACCAACAAGCAAATCGTATCAGCAAACTACTCCTAGTTAATGCTTGTATGCTGTCAATTTTGGGTACCACAGACTTCAAATTGACTCTTTCTTGCTGATCCAGTTGGATCTGATCAAATGCAGGGTTGGGTCGGGTTTGGATCAGACCGAGAAAAAATGTCACGTCAAAATCTTTGGCTCAAGCCTGGCCCAACACATTGTCAAGTTGAATCAGGCTATTTATTGGATTTTTTTTGGATGGGTCGGGTCGTAGGCCGAAAATCATGACTCTAAATTCTCAAAAAGAAAATCATGACTCTAAAACTTATATGAATAATGGAGTGGATAATATCCATACATTTTTTAAGAGATATATTACTAAGATGTTTTGGGGTACAAAACTGCAAATGTAATGATGTGTGTGCAGTGTGCTTAGTGCATTAAGAGTGAGCATGTGTAACAGGGTCACTCGCGCAGCATCCGCTTCACCATCTGCAGCGTCGCCACGAACCTGGTGGTGTTGAGCCGGATGTTCTCCTCCCGCTAGTAGAACTTCGCATTGCTGCCGTTCCTGTAGAACACGTCGGGGTCGGCGATCACCAGGTGGTCCTTGCCGTACCTGTCGTACAACGTGTTCTCCTCGGCGGCGATGCTGTACGCCACGTGGCGGAGCCACATGTGCGCCGCTGGGGCGCCGAAGAACCCTTCCCTGTAGGGCTCCATCTTCCCCACGGGATGACCTGCAACACCACGGCGCCCGCGCACAGGAACACCATGTTGGTCAGCCCGGCGCCGTGCGCGCCCACGAGCATGTCGCACGCGTCCACCTCGCGCGCCACCGCGCCCACGTCCGCCCAGGACGTCGCCTCATCCATGCGCGCCACCATAAAGCCAGCGCGCTTGATCGCGTCCATGATCGTGCCCTCGTTCACGAACCGCCACGTGCGTCCCCGGAGGATGAGCATGAGCCACGGCCTCGTTCCGCCGCAGCCAGACTTGCACGGTAGCGTGACGCTGGCTCCTGGCGGCGGCAGGGGGTAGGCGGCTAGGACGAACTCGCGGAACGCGAGCATGTCGTACCCATTCGGGGCGAGCGCTGGATCGATGTCGAAGTCGCGGTGGTGGCCGCGGAGGCCGACGACGAGGTGGGCGTAGCACCGTGCGACGTCGCCGTCCGCGTCGAGGTCCACCACGTCGTACCGCGAGATAAACATTATATTATAAAAGATTGAAAAAAGTCACGACCTACGCCTACGCATCCGGTCTTGTGTTGTGGCCACCGGTACCCACGCCAGACGCCATGACCTGCCCTACCCACCACGCCACCACAACACGGGACGGACGACGTATTTGTCTTTAAATAATATTTTTTAATGATTGAATGCAAATTTAGAAGCTGTTATAAAAAACCTGACATGTAGCAGCTTGTCGGCATACCAATGGTTGACTACAAGCAGAATGTTTGAATATCATACTCAAAGTATCGTTTTTTAAAGTACAATACAAGTTTGAGCTCGAATTATCGTGATATTATTATTATTTTTTTGTTGCAACATACATGCATGATCCTAGTATAGATTAAAAGATCTCTGTTTATCGGCTTTAATAAAAGTGGGTGGTCTATTTTTTTTAACCCATCACGTTGGTACAACAGTCAGTTCTAGCGAAGGAAAACAAATTACAAGTACCAATATTTTCTTAAAAAAACATGTACCTAAATCCCGGGCGAGATCCAGGCGGCAACCGGCCAGCAGCAACAGTAGACGACACCCACACAACGATAGGCTCCGGCCTGCGGCCACCTTTTTGCTCAGGTACCCTGGCGGCCTCCGACAGGCCGACTAGGCCTGTCGGGCGTCCAGTTACCGACATGCTGGTTTTTCCTGGCGTGCTGCTGCCACGTGTGCCTATCGGCTGGTGAGCCCCATGTGCGCCGCTGCCACGTGTGCCTATTGGCTCGTGAGCTTCCAGTTTGCTGTCACCTCCATGAAAACCATCAATTGTACCTCCATTTGCTTAATTGCTTGGCATGCACCTCGATGGAAATGAAGAATTCAAACCCTAGTGCTAATACCCTTGGCTCTTCCTGGCTTGCATTTGTCATTACATAAGAGCTCCACCACCTATGACAGTTATGCCAGTGGTGATGCCTACTTGAGCCAAGTACACCAAACCGATTCAAAGATTCCTAACAGTGATGCAACCAACAAGCAAATCGTATCAGCAAACTATTCCTAGTTAATGCTTGTATGCTGTCAATTTTGGGTACCACAGACTTCAAATTGACTCTTTCTTGCTGATCCAGTTGGATCTGATCAAATGCAGGGTTGGGTCGGGTTTGGATCAGACCGAGAAAAAATGTCACGTCAAAATCTTTGGCTCAAGCCTGGCCCAACACATTGTCAGGTTGAATCAGGCTATTTATTGAAATTTTTGTTGGGGGGTGGGGGTTGGGTCGAGTCGTAGGCCGAAAATCATGACTCTAAATTCTCAAAAAGAAAATCATGACTCTAAAACTTATATGAATAATGGAGTGGATAATATCCATACATTTTTTAAGAGATATACTACTAAGATGTTTTGGGGTACAAAACTGCAAATGTAATGATGCGTGTGCAGTGTGCTTAGTGCATTAAGAATGAGCATGTGTAACAGGGTCACTCGCTCAGCATCCGCTTCACCATCTGCAGCGTCGGCGCGAACCTGGTGGTGTTGAGCCGGATGTTCTGCTCCCGCCATAGAACTTGCGTTGCTACCGCTCTCAGAGAACACGCCGGGTCGGCGATCACCGGGTGGTCCTTGTCGTACTGCTCGTACAACGTGCTCTCCTCGGCGGCGGCGATGTCAGACGCGACGTGGTGGCGCGTCATTGGGCGCCGAAGAACCCTTCCCGTAGGGGCTCCATCTTCCCCACGGATGACTCGCAACACCACGGCGCCCGCGCACAGAACACCGTGTTGGTCAGCCCGCGCCGTCGCGCGCTTACGAACACGCGCCGCACGCGTCCCACCTCGCGCGCCCACCGCGCTTCACGTCCGCCCAGACATCGCCTCATCCATGCGCGCCACCTCGAAGCGGCGCGCTCCGATCGCGCTTTCGTTCACGAACCGCCGCGCGGCCCCGGAGGATGAGCATGAGCCACGGCCTCGTTCCGCCGCCGCCAGACTTGCACGGTAGCGCGACGCTGGCTCCTGGCGGCAGCAGGGGGTAGGCGGCTCGGACGAACTCGCGGAACGCGAGCATGTCGTACCCATTCGGGGCGCGCGCTGGATCGATGTCGAAGTCGCGGTGGTGGCCGCGGAGGCCGACGACGAGGTGGGCGTAGCACCGTGCGACGTCGCCGTCCGCGTCGAGGTCGACCATGTCGTACCGCGAGATTAACAATATATTAAAAAAGATTGAAAAAAGTCACGACCTACGCCTACGCATCCGGTCTAGTGTTGTGGCCACCGGTACCCACGCCAGACGCCACGACCTGCCCTACCCACCACGCCACCACAACACGGGACGGACGACGTATTTGTCTTTAAATAATATTTTTTAATGATTGAATGCAAATTTAGAAGCTGTTATAAAATAAACTTGACATGTAGCAGCTTGTCGGCATACCAATGGTTGACTACAAGCAGAATGTTTGAATATCATACTCAAAGTATCGTTTTTTAAAGTACAATACATGTTCGAGCTCGAATTATCGTGATATTATTGTTTTTGTTGCAACATACATGCATGATCCTAGTATAGATTAAAAGATCTCTGTTTATCGGCTTTAATAAAAGTGGGTGGTCTGTTTTTTTTTACCCATCACGTTGGTACAACAGTCAGTTCGAGCGAAGGAAAACAAATTACAAGTACCAATATTTTCTTAAAAAAAACATGTACCTGAATCCCGGGCGAGATCCAGTCGGCAACCGGCCAGCAGCAACAGTAGACGACACCCACACAACGATAGGCTCCGGCCTGCGGCCACCTTTTTGCTGAGGTACCCTGTCGGCCTCCCACGGGCCGACTAGACATGTCGGCCCGCCCGTTGCCGACATGCTGGTTTTACCAGAACTGCAGCTGCCACGTGTGCCTATCGGCTCGTGAGCCCCATGTGCGCCGCTGCCACGTGTGCCTATCGGCTCGTGAGCTTCCAGTTTGCTGTCACCTCCATGAAAACCATCAATTGTACCTCCATTTGTTTAATTGCTTGGCATGCACCTCGATGGAAATGAAGAATTCAAACCCTAGTGCTAATACGCTTGGCTCTTCCTGGCTTGCATTTGTCATTACATAAGAGCTCCACCACCTATGACAGTGATGCCAGTGGTGATGCCTACTTGAGCCAAGTACACCAAACCGATTCAAAGATTCCTAACAGTGATGCAACCAACAAGCAAATCGTATCAGCAAACTATTCCTAGTTAATGCTTGTATGCTGTCAATTTTGGGTACCACAGACTTCAAATTGACTCTTTCTTGCTGATCCAGTTGGATCTGATCAAATGCAGGGTTGGGTCGGGTTTGGATCAGACCGAGAAAAAATGTCACGTCAAAATCTTTGGCTCAAGCCTGGCCCAACACATTGTCAGGTTGAATCAGGCTATTTATTGAAATTTTTGTTGGGGGGTGGGGGTTGGGTCGAGTCGTAGGCCGAAAATCATGACTCTAAATTCTCAAAAAGAAAATCATGACTCTAAAACTTATCTGAATAATGGAGTGGATAATATCCATACATTTTTTAAGAGATATATTACTAAGATGTTTTGGGGTACAAACCTGCAAATGTAATGATGCGTGTGCAGTGTGCTTAGTGCATTAAGAGTGAGCATGTGTAACAGGGTCACTTTCAAGAAGATCCGCTTCACCATCTGCAGCTGGCGGCACGAACGAACTCGTGGTGTTGAGCGGATGTTCTCGCTCCCGCCAAGAGAACTTCACGTTGTCGCCGCTCCTATAGAACACGCCGGGTCGGCGATCACCGGTGGTCCTTGCCGCACTGTCGTGACAACAGCGGGTTCCTCTCGGCGGCGATCTTGTCAGACGCGAGGCGGCGGTCGCGTCATTGGGCGCCGAAGAACCCTTCCCGTAGGGCTCCATCTTCCCCACGGATGACCTGCACCACCACGGCTCCCGCCAGCAGAACACCATGTTGGTCAGCCCGGCGCCGCGGCGCGCCCACGAAAGCACACGCCGCGCGTCCCACCTCGCGCCACCCACCACGCCCACGTCCGCCCAGACGTCGCCTCATCCATGCGCGCCACCTCGGCCGGGCGCGCTCGATCGCGGCCCATGATCGCGCCCTCGTTCACGAACCGCCGCGCGCGCGTCCCGGAGGATGAGCATGAGCCGCGGCCTCGTTCCGCCGCCGCCGCCAGACTTGCACGGTAGCGCGACGCTGGCTCCTGGCGGCGGCGGGGGTAAAGGGTAGGCGGCTCGGACGAACTCGCGGAACGCGAGCATGTCGTACCCATTCGGGCGCGCGCTGGGTCGATGTCGAAGTCGCGGTGGTGGCCCGCGGAGGCCGACGACGAGGTGTGCGTAGCACCGCACGACGTCGTCGTCCGCGTCGAGGTCCACCACGTCGTACCGCGAGAGCGCGCGGAAGACGCGGCCGTACTTGCCGAGGAACCAGGCCTGGGCGCCGGCGCCGGTGGCGAGGAGCTCAACGTCGCCCCCGAAGGCCCGCGCCGTCGTGAAGAGCGGCACCAGCACGTCGCTGAAGGCGTGCCAGTAGTTGGACGTTAGGCCGCCGAGCGCGAACACCACGGACGGCACGCCCCGGCGGACCGTGCAGCGGGGCGCCTCGTGGAGGCTGGACGCGTCCAGGGACCGGACGGTCACCTCGCGGACGTCGACGATCTTGCGGGACTGGGAGCGGATGCTCCAGGTGGCCGCCGCCGCGGTGGCCAGCTGCGGCGGCGGCGGGATGAAGTAGACCACCGAATTGTTGGCGCCACTCGCCGTGCGCGCGTCGCCCCACATCTCGCACCCGTCGTAGCGCCGGTCGGAGAGGTCGCAGATCGGCTCCAGAGGAGGATGCACTTGCGCAACAGAGGTTGCCATCGCCGTCGCCGGTGCAATTTCTTCACCTGCAAACGGAGGAAAAAAACTGAGAAATTTAGCTGTAATGCCTAGGAATCTGAACTTGCTGGTGAGACGTGCATATGGAGAGTGAACCAGTGATTTTTTTCGGAGAACTCGTGGCATCTTTTTTCTGGGCCTGCTCTGTGAACACCGGAGGTTCTGCTGTCCTATCGGCTGCAAAATGTTGGGTCAAATTTGCCAGCGATCGATCTTTAGACGGTGAATTGGGAAGAAACGAATACCGAGACTTGTGTGCGGTGTCATGCATGATGAACTCGACTGGACTGCAAGGTAGCTCACCTAGCGGTGGCAGTGCATGACCACTCGTCTCCTCCCCCGGCGCCGGCGAACCTGCACCGTCGTCTCCCGACGAGCCCCGCAAGAGAGCTAGCTTCGACAACAACGCAAAACAAGTCCGTAACCGTGAGTGAGAACGAAACCGTAGGTTTGGCACGTGTAATTCGTATATAAGATCGGCTCACCGTTTGTGCCACGGACTGTGAACTGCGTCGGCACGGAGAGAAAGATCACCGCCGCGACGAAGAGGCCGGCGAACAGCGCGACGGCGAGTCTGCTCTCCGCGAGCGCCGGCCATAACTTGTCCAGGGTCTTCTTCATTTGGGACTGAAACCGGAACCGGCAGTTGCAAGAGCAGTAGTAGTCCAGCCAGGACACTCCCGTTTCTCCTTAAAAAGCCGCTTTTGTCAGGGAATTCTGCGTTCCATGACTCTCACACACCCCATGGAATTCTGCATTTCGGGTCTTCGCTTCACGTTATGAGTCAGAGGCAATACGGCATGGTTCTGTGTTGCAGTACACGTCTTGTTTTCAGTCGTTTGGGCGGCTCCACTCACACGTTTTTAGTAGGTTGCTTGCTCGAAATTGGTTGCTATTGGGGGCAGAGGGGGGGAGTACAATAAATGGTGACTGTGCATTGCCTGTGGAATTCGAGTATGGCTGCTGGATCTGGCAGGGTAGAAACAATACTTTCAGTTCAGGGGGGGTAAAGGATAGGTACCGGACATGCAAATTCATCCTCTTCTTTGGTACCGTTTAGTTCCCTCCAAAATATCAAATTTTTCAAGATTTCCCGTCACATCGAATCTTTTGAACGCATACATAAAATATTAAATATAAATAAAAAATAAAACTAATTACACAGTTTAGACGAAATCCACAAGACGAATCTTTTAACCCTAATTAGACTATGATTGAACACTAATTGCCAAATAACAACGAAAACTTCTACAGTGTCATTTTGCCAAATTTTTCGGCATCTAAACAGGCCCTTTGTGTGCATTCACAACGTAGAAATAGACCACTTTGTCAGCCTATATCAACAACAGTGGTTGCACCCTTTTTTTTTTTGAGAAAAAACCGTGGTTGCACCTGAATGACGCACGGTTGCCCGTTAGAGTCAGGTAGAAAAAACATCTTTGCCTCAAGCGTCACGGCCCGGACGGGGTCACGACATTAAAACAAGCTGCAAGGCAACGACGAGACATCTTCGCCTGTTCGCAAGTAGTCCTACTCGAACACTCGACGATGTGGCGGGATGTGCACACAGTGACGCTAAGTGTGCACGCCGCTCCCCAAAACCTCCTTAGGATACTACAGTTCTACCACAAGACAGTTTATCTTTCGCTGAAGCCTCGACATGATATGATTCGACAGTCTACAGAGGGTAAGACATTAAAACCAGCTATGCGTTGTCATTTGAAGCTGGGGAGGTAACTGTGCAGAGAAACTAATCCTGAACATTAGGCAGTTTTAAGGGGGAGTGCACACTCCCCACGATAGAAGGAAAATGCAAACATTCGCTCCCACTGTTTTAGTATAATTACAAGGGGTGTCAACTGGACATTCCCCACTTCTGTTCTGCAGCTTCCTCCTCCCTGCAGATCGTTAGATGTTTCTGAGTTTCTCTCCTAGTCCTGCCCATGTGAAACCAGGGCAGAAGTTATGCTCAAATTACAGCAAAATTAACTACAATCAGCTCACTTATCTAAAAAACAATGGATAAATCATGATTGGATACATTGCAATGCATTATTAAGTTTGTTTACACATAATGGGAATAAATCACAATCTTTTTTATGAAAACAATATGGCACTGGACGCTGTATCTTTTAATAGGAAACACAAAACCAAATGCATCCTGATCCCTTATTTGTGAAATAAGATACCACTTGATACCGCACCTTTTAAGAAAGAAAAAAAAAGTAATGCAGAGCAAGGTTCTGTTGAAGCCCAATTTCCTTTCTAAAGGACTACTTCTCATACCCGTTGGATTGATCAGCCAGATTTTCTCTCTTAATCTGACTGTCCATCTCAATGCCACACCCGATTCCCTCGCCCTCCCGAGGCCATCACGACCGCCGCCTTCAGAAGCAGGGCTTCGCTGCTCTGCCCTCCTCCCTCTCATGCGATTTCATGCTGTCAAATCCGCTATCAGCTAACCCATCTTCAACGAGAACACCCATCAATTGCCCCTAGACCCCACTCACACCGCAGCGGACAGCGTCCACATTGCCATGACACCACCAACTTTACCAAGCCAGCCTCCCTCTCAGGTCACCTCCAAACATGCCTGAATCAGGTACGTCCTCACCCCCAGTGCTAAATCCCCAAAGCAAAACTAAACCCAAATAAATACATTTAACCCTGGGATTTGCAGGATCCAAGTCACCTTAGATCTCACCAAATCTGCAACAATGAACTGCAGTCCAAACAGCATTGCAAGTAGTATTTGTCTGACAAAAAATACCTACCTTAAAAGTTAGGCAATGATGGCATAATGTGAATATGAACTTCTTAGTCCCATCCAACAGGGAAAATATGAGTCAGGACTAAGGAGGTACCTGATGAAATTAAATATTGCATTGAAAATAACAATGGAATCATTGGCTACTACAGAAGGAAGATCAAATAAAACTAGATTACTGGGAAGAGTCTTACCCAGATTTTCTTTTCATCTAACGTTTTGTGCTATTGAAGGCAGGGCTGGCCTTTTCTCTACCAGCTCATAGTGGAGAACAAAGTTGTCCTGCAGTAAACACAGGATAATGTAACTTTCAAGTGTACAAGAGATGCCACATATTTTTTCCAGTATATAGGTCAACAGGACCAAACCTTACGGACTGAATCCCAGATCTCTGGATCAAAGCAAAGGTAAGATCCACGTTCATAGAAGTGAGTTTTGACTAGAGGTTCCACATTTGCAGTTCTTGTGAACCATAAGCGCACTTCTTTATGGTAAAACCATCCCCGATTATACCTGAGAAGACAAAATCAAATACACTATAGGATTTATTAAGGTTAATATACATAAAGAAAAAATAAAAACCAGTTTAATCTCTGTTTGGTTTAACTATGCTGCACTAGGTTGTCAAGTGTGGTACATGTGAAAAGGTAGCTTTTGACAAATATAGTTAGATACTATTGCTGTCATTCAATAGTAGACAGAATGAAAGAGAGTTCATGGCAATATCTTGAAAAATGGCTAAGCCTAGAAGAAGTCTCAAGGGACACGCAGCAATGCGACACAAACACTCATCAAAGTTAGCAAACTACCAACAAACAAATATTGTAATGGACTGAAACTTCATTAACTAAAATGAGAAGTAAAGAGTAAATTTGAAAACACTTGTGGTCAGGTAGTCTAGCTGCTTAGAGCAGCAGTTCAAGGCTTTACTGACCCAAACAACAATCCATGCATAGGTTCTTAGTGTGTACAAGTAACATAATATTTCAAAAAAAAACAGAAGAAGTGCCAAATTATATAACACAAAAGCTCGGCTGGTTCAACATTCACTGAATTAGGTTCATATATGCAGGTTACATTTGCTTCTAATAAGTGGAAACTGGCATCATTAACCCATCGTTAGGCTGGCAGCTGGTTTATGAACAAGTTTTACAGCATTAACAAGGATATTAATCTTTGCCACGGATATTGCTGATATGTGATCCTAACACTTAATACAGTACTACAAAAAAGTCTAGAAACATTAAAAAGCAAGGAGCATGAAAACTCAGATAAATAGCACCAAGATATGCTAAAGAAATGGCCTCAATGTACTCACAGTTCATTGGCAGCATACAGCTGAGCTTCATCCCTTGGCATGCTGCAAGAAGAAAAATGTAATCAGATTAAACTATGGTGAGTAAATGACAAGCCTAATGAAGTAAAATATTATGGTAGAACTGTGGAAGTACCTATAGAAGATGTAAAATAGTATTAGTATGTGAAACTTCTGAAAAAGTAAGGGCTGCAACAAGACAGAATTTGTTAAAATGTAATATGAACCAGACACATCAAGATAAAATTCTGGTGGTTATATCAGATAACGTGGTTTTAAAAATCTCATTATCGAAAGTAGCCTACAGTTACGGGGTGCTTACCTGTAGCGGTGGAGTTTGCTCAGAGAAGTAACAAGCTGGAATTCGAAAATCAGTATCTCCTTCTGCTGGGTCATTCGACCAGGGTGAGCCAAATGTCTTGTATAGATTATCTGGTGAGTTCAAGTTCAAACCCAATGTTGTCAAATCTATTCCTAAAGCAAGAGATGCTAAATCAGCATCATTCATCCTTATAACTCCCAGCAATCCTAACAAGCCATATGGATCAGGTGGTGTTGGTCCCGCCTGAATCTTTTGAATCTGATCCCGATATGAATGTACAGCTGAAGACATCTGCTGAAATCTGAAATGATTTTGAGGCTGCGGTTGCTGGTATTGCGGCAGAAATTGATCATATGATCCCAAACCAGAAGTTTGACTGGGTGGCCTCAGTAAAATATTGTGGGATCCGGCATTCTGGACCTGATAGAACATAATTGAGATTACTACCATCGTTCAATCAAAGGGGCAATATAAACATCAAAGTGATACATCCCTCTGGAAAGATTAATTGGATGGTTGTTTTGGGAAAATCATGGGGTACTTACTGAATTAGCACCTTGCTGGTGTTGTTGACGATTAGGTAGGTAGCTACTTCCTAAGTTAAAGCCTGACCTTGCCATCTGTGTATGTGTGCATATTATGTCAAAAAAAAAAAGACAACGACTCAAGGGGATGATTATTCAAACTACAGAAAATTAACTCACAGGATACTGCTGCGATTGCATTACAGGTACATTCTCGTGGAGTTGTTCCTTATGATGCAACTCCATAGCATTATAATCCGAAGGGTTACCTGATAACACAAGAGATTATTAAATTTTCCAAGTTGTTAAAATAGAGTTAACAAGAATAAATGCATTAACTAGTGAAATGTCCATTGCTTCTGCTGGGTTTCAACTCTAGCCTACCCCAACTTGTTTGGGACTTAAAGGCTTTGTTGTTGTTGTTGTTGTAGTGAAATGTCCATAAAGAGAATGTCAAGCATCAATAAAACATAAGATTCTATTTTTTTGTGTGGGTTTATGAAGGAGTGATACTCCAATCCAATGAGGATGTTAGGTTTCATGCACCAACCAAATGAACCCAAAAGCTTAAGCGATTGGGAAGAGGTGGGCAATCCACTAATACTTCACAACAGAGGAAAGAATCAGTTCAAAAGGCAGGTAAAAAGATAACAATGCTTCAAGATTTGTAACACAACTAAGGAAAAAAATTGACCTCTTTATAGAAAAATGATTCAGCAGCGAAGATTAGACGCAATTCATCCAAGGGCAATGCTAGTTTTTCCTTTGTAAAGAAGGAAAAAAGGATGTAATAATTGGCTCAAAAGTATGACCTTATTGCAAAACTTTGTTTCCTATTGCAAACTTTGTTTCATTTTGGTGTATCACAAAAGACGCAAGAAACGAAAAGGGATGTGAAGCTTCATACAGTACAGTGCTCAGGGTACGCATGTCCAGCCGAAAGGGTCGCAACATTGTACCTCAGTAGCAATTGCATCTCATAATTAGGAGGTTCTTTTGATCTATTTTGGTTGAAATGGTCAGGTCTCATGAGAAATCCTAAGGGCTTGAACATCTCTGGATGGTTCAGGTGCTACCTCATAAAGGCCAATTTACCTTCCATGTCTTATATGGATTGTAGTAGTGTACTTGTGTTGTTTCCATATACAAGCACAACATCACAAGATCATACAACAAATTCTCTGTACGAATTGTTGAAAGATGATTCCACAACATCAATAGGGGAAAAACTCAAGGGCTGTGTGCTCACTTTTGGTTTTGGTTACTAGAATGCTGACAGAAGGATTACAGGCTGGTTGCCATGTTCGCACAAGCATGCAAGTTATAATTGGACCTTTTGTTTATGTTACGAGTCTCACCTATTACAAAAAAAAAAACTATTAACCAAAATATTTCATTAAGAAGTCTCAACCACAGGGTCAAGAAAAGGCCACAAACCGTGGCTATTAAATAGCACAGAGAGTGGCCCTTTTTTGTGAGAAAAGAGAGTCGAACTCGCGACCTGTAGGTCACACAACAGCTCCCCAACCACTGCGCTACGCGCACATTTTCCGAATCTCCCCTTATCGACCATCAAATAATGGTCCATGATAATTCTAGTTGGCCAGCGGTTTGATGAATAATCCCAATATTGGCCCTTCATTCCTACAAAAAAGGGGAAAAAACCACCGATATGCTGGTACAGGGCCAGGTCTTCTATTGATTCCTTTTTTGTTATTATAGGCTCGGTGACGGGTTTCTTCATTATTGTTGTCGGGCTTTTTTGTTACTTTGAAGACCACTTTTGTTGTCGGTCACCAAAGAGCTAGAAGATGGATAACACATCCAAAAGACAAGATTTTTACGTAGATAGATTCTTCTCTCTATCACCTCTTCCCATCTTTGGCCTAGTCATAGTCACATAAAACAGGGTCAAAGGCATCGACCCTCGACCCGGAATGTCGCCTAACCCGGTATGCGGGGATCATTTTCACCCATTGCGTCAAAACCTCTCCCAAATAGCATACCACATTCATCGACTCCATTCCTCAACCCCATTTACACAGGAACTTTGTGGCTATGGGCCAGTCTAAAAGTGTGGCTATGGGCCTAGTCTAAAAGTGTATCCACCGCGTTGGATATCAATAACAACCACAAATATAGCCAAGGCTTAGGATGATTAGACAATCCATCTATAGCTCCATCGTGTCCTATGGGTATGATCACCCACAAACTTGTGTTGGCCTTCTGGATCTTTGTTGCCAATATACAATGTAGTAAGGCAGACCACTTTATAAGTGTGGCAAGATGACGAGTTCGCCGTTAAGAACTGTTCACATCATGTTATACCTTTGGCAGGTTTGCAAATGCTCATCTGGATACTAGTCGTGTATTTCTACTTGACGCAGGGATTGTCAAAGATGGGACAGTATATGCTACTCCCTCCATTCCAAATTATAAGACATTTTGGCTTTTTTAGATACATTAGTTTAACTATGTATCTAGACATAGTGTATATCTAAGTGCATAGCAAAAGTTATATATCTAGAAAAGCTAAAACATCTTATAATTTGGAATGGAGAGAGTACAAGAGAATCTAACGATAGGGCCTTACTGTTGCCAAGGAAAAAGCCAATTGCAACAAGAGAAACAAAAAGATTTCACATTAAACCTATGAAAGTGTAATAACCTCTGATTAACTTGAGGAAAAGATAAATAGTAAATTGAAAGATGGAGCTCACAACACAAGCCAGGGTCATACTGTTGAAAACTAAACAGTTCAAATGCTAAGCTCAAGTACTCAGCAAATACAGAGTAACAAGGGCCAGTTTATAACAACAAACTGTAGAAGATACACAACTGATATTGGAAGGTCAAGGTCAGTAACACAATTCGTTTCAAAAAATATATATATACACAATCAAACAGATCGGCACCACAGATGGCAAAATGAGGAAATCCCACTAAATCAACTGACAATTTATAGTAACAAATTTGACTAGAACAACCTTTATATCCAGGCAAAGCCGGGAAGTCTTCATTTTGAATGCTGAATTCCTGGTTTTGTTGCACAATGGTGTTAACACCAACTCCTTGCTTGTGCAGTGACCCTGCATTTTAAAGAAATTAGCAAAATCAATATCCAAATAATAATTAAGAAATATATTAGTTTCCAGCACTCTTACCATATTGTCCTTGCGAACCACCAGCAGAACTAGGCCGGCCAGACAATTGGGGAAAATCATTTATGTCAAATGGAGCAGTGTCACTGGCATCATGCAACATCCCCATAGAACTAAGAGAATTATTTCCTGCTTGAATTTGGTTCTGCGATAATGAACCTCCAGATGTTGGATATGAACTTCCAAGCATATTTATCAACTGAGGAGATGCTGGTTTCAGAGATTAAAAAAGGCTGGATGAGACATGAATTCTGATAAACAGATAAGTAATAAACAGCACACTTCTTAACCATTAAAATTTTTGGAGACTTGTTTCACAATTATACAAATAAAAAATGTACAAGCTTATATCAGGATCAGGTACTATTATGCTATATACATCTGGGATTTTTTTTTTTTTTTTTTTTTTTTTCGAAAACGCAGGAGAGCTGCGCATCATTATATTAAGAAGAAAGAAAGGGGCTAGAGCCCTACAACACACACCACACACAACCCCACACAAATAACATTCGCGCCTGGCAAGGACAGAAGGCGACCAAACACTATGACTAAGCTAACTACCAAAGAGAGGGGCTGTCAAAGATGACAGACCCTGGGCTCCTGCTACACTCCAATATACATCTGGGATCATCATGAGTTGAACCGCATTACATGAGAATATAAAAACAGGAAATGTTAAGAACTTGGTATAACTGGGGAATCTTTCATGAGGTGCTACTTTCCTGTCTCGCTCACAATTGCACAAACTCGCTTGCAATTTACTCTCTAGCACTACCTATTCCCACAAAGCAAAAATAGCAATACATACATGCTGATTCAACAGGCTACAAGATAATACATTATATGGGGGCAGTGGGCTGCTTGTTTCTCATTGCCAAATTTTAATGCCAAGAAAAAGTTGAAAGGTGGGTGCTCAGCTTGAACCTTGGAGCAAGAAATGAAACAAGTGGACAACCAACATAACATGTTAAAGAGTTGAGGCTACAACTGACCAGAAACAAGCCAGCCAACCATGACACATGGAGTCCAGTTAAATCTATTAAATTAAAAAAATATAACATTTCACTTGTTTATGGGTACATGTAATCAATTACCTTGTTGATGAAGCAAGCCATTCATCATTCGACTAGATCCTTGCACATTCAGACTACCACTCCCAGCATTGCCACTCAGATTCATCCGTGATGCAATACTTGGGATGGACAAACCACCAGTGCTTATATTTCTTCCAATATTGCTTCCACTTACAATATTTCCTACAGAACTTGTGATCCGTGGACCCAAGTTTCCTAAAGATGGAGATACTGACATCCCAGGAACAGAATTGCGACTACCACCGATAAGCCTTGGATGTTACCACCAATATTCATGCTGCTACTAAATGCCGGACCTCCGCCAAAATTCATCCCTCTACCACTGACACCTGAATGTGCATGAGGAATCTGCAAAGGGACCACACAATAAATCATCTTGCTCCACATGGATGCACAGACAGAGAAACAGACATTTGAACTATAAAAGTTGGTCCTCGGATCCCATAAGCCATTAAAGTGAACATGTATGCTTACCACCAAATAAGAAAATGAATTGCAATATATATGAATAAAGGTGAGCATTAGAACCTGAGACATGGCAACCGGAAGGTTGTTTGAAGGGAATCTCCCAGGAATGCTACCTCCAGGTTGTTGAACCCCAGAGGACGGAAGGCCACTCATGGCAGCATTCCTTTGTGCAAGTGATCCAGGCATACTTGGAAGGTTGTAACTTCCATGAGTGTTATGCAAGCCTTTGAAAATATCAGGAAAAGAAACCTTACTTAATGCCTGTCATGTAGTATAAATGGACTAACCAAAGTTTTTTGTATTATATATATGCTCACCAGAATGATGGAAACCTGGAATTGATCCAGATTGACCCGAAAAGGATGCTGTAAATGGCCTTCCAGCTGAGTCTGGAAGATTTGATGCTGAACTATTAAGGTTTGACTGCCAAGGAAAGAAAAACTGAGTTAATAAAAAAATAAACATAATATTGAGTTAAGCCTGCAAACCATATTGAGATAAGCAGGCCCCTAAAGAAGTTTGAGTAGGAGATAGTCATCAAAGAGTTCAAGATGAAATACTCATTTGTTGTCCACAAAAAAAAACATAAAAAAGGAGTGTAAACAAACAAGCAAATGACCTACCAGATCACAACGTAACAATACCTCTGCCCTGATTTACCTGCTGATAGTCTCAAAGTGCACAAATTTGACTATCACCTAATACAAGTACCGTATATCAAACATTAAAAATATCGCTGTCTCACAGTGCACAATTTAACTATCACCTAATATAAGTACCATATATCAAACATTAAAAATATTGTTGTGACACAATGAAGTACGCCCTGTTCGTTTGGGCTGGTTTGGCTTATAAGCCATTGCTGAAAGTACTGTTGGCTGGTTTGGTGTGAGAGCCATGGCTTATAAGCCAGATACGAGAAAGCGAACAGGCAACTCTTGCATGATATCTCTAAAAAGATTTGCCTGGTGATGATTGAAGTTATATAAAAGTTTGACTTTCATTCAAGAATATCATCCATTCTGGACCCAATGTAGTAAACAAATAGAAAGAACATGAATTCATAATGATAGCAAGAAAATCCAAAGGCAAGTATACTTGTGCAAGTAAGTACATTCAGCAAGCCCGACATTTTGAAGACACCAAAAGAAACGAAGACTCAAGGGCAAATGAAGATTATCCGCAGAAAATGCAGGACGCAGCAAACCCTTCCAGCCTGAAACAGAAAGAGGATACATTTATAAGTAGTCAGTACAATAAGGGAATCCTTTGAACAAGGAAAATACCTTATATTAAAACAATGTGAACAACATATAACAAGTACAGCAATGAAACTGAAAGACAGACACTAAATTCAAGTTTGTCCCTAGATCAGTTGGTTTTTACATATCTGTCATTCAGTTGAAATGCCATGACAACAACAAAGCTGTTAAATCCCGGGCAAATGGGGAAGGCTGAGATGAAAACCATTGCAAACCATCAACAAAAAGGAAAGTCATGAAAAAAATATAAAAGGATCACTTGAAACGACTGGAAAGAGTAAGCTATAAGAAAATCATTCGAAAACTAAATAATTACAATTATCACAATAACTGCAGAAATTTTGAACACTAAAAGATTGGTCAGGCCAACCTTCGAATATAAAGCAGACCATGTGCCAGCACAATATGAAAACATGCCGATTTTCCTAAACACCTCGAAACATGTAGAAGGTTATTTGTGCCATAAACCACTGGGTTACTGGGTTAGACTAGTGCATTCCAGAATAACCTGATCAGCACAAAACATGACAGCAGCAACATTGCATATGAGAGCTGACACTGAAACTGCTGAACATATAATCCCACACACTCAACCCTTCTCCGAAGGTACGAGCACACAAATCTCCGCAACCTAACACACGCATACATGAAAGCAAGGAAGGAAAAAAGCAGAGAACGAAAAAATTCCGGCGAACATATAACACGATCCCACTCCACATCGGCAATCGCTGGATGGACGATCAGAAACACACGTAGAAACGGATCGAAGGACGCAAAAGGCCGGCAAGGGAGTCGGATGGGAGCGGAATCGCGGGGTCTGTGTCGGGGAATTAGGGCAAACCGGGGCACGGGGCATGCTTACCGAGGGGAGGCCGAGACTGTCACGCGGGAGGCGGAGAAGATCGGGTTCGACGGCGATGGCGGCGGCGGTGGCGGTGGCGGACGCGCTCGGCGGATCCAGGGGGGAAGTGGAGAGCGTCGCGACTCGCGAGAGGGCGAGACGCGCTGCGTCTGGCCGTCGGCGACGGCGAGAGGAATCGAAACTGACACGGAGAGACGACGGGGAGGGGGAGCGGAGGGGAGGAGAAAGGCACTTTAGAAGGGGCAAGAGGAGGTGGGTTTTGGTCCGTTACAGATGAAATGGATCTGGTTGGAGGATGGTCTGCGCGGGCTGAGTGGGCCGGTATTGGATTTCTTTCGAGGCTGGGGTCGAGGGATAAAATGGGCCTGATCTGGACAGCTCTCGGTAAATTACATTTTTTATTATTTCAGGCCACTTTGAAATGTATGATTCTCAAAACATGTAGAAATAAAAAAAATGCATGATTAGAGTTGCATATAACTTACAATCCTACAGAAATTCAAAATACAGGAAAATTACCATTTTGTACTTTGGATGCAACACAAAAAAAATTGCAAGAATTCGGAGAGATAGACATAGAGGAAACATACTAGTTTTCCTTCAAATTTTATATGATTTTATACATTTCATAGGAATCCAAAGGAATTGTATAAGGTTTATAATCATTTGTTCTAAAGGTATATACCTAATTTTCTTGTAATATTAAAATCAACTAACATTCTTATGCTTTTCCTTTGTTTCAAAGGGAGCCTCATATTGTTTTTGATAGGTGCACATAACGAATTGGGATAATGGCTACGTAATAGGTACTAGTAGAGTAGGTTTAATGTCATCCTAAATAAAATGAAGCACTTTATGTGGAGAATGACGCGTGACACTGTAGCTCTAAGAATAAATCGGAGAGGCATGAGAATCGACACAGTATGTCCCATCTACAATCGATTGGATGAGAGTGGAGGGCATTTGTTCTTTTGAGTAAATTACTTCATTGTCATTAGAATTTATATGGAATTCCCTTAGGGGCCGTTTAGATTCTTTTATTTTGGAGGAATTGAAATCTATATAATGGATTGGGCTATTTGGCTTGAAATTTGATATTCCATAATATTCCCAAGCTCACAAATAAGCCTATCTTAAATTCATAAGGTGGGAGATGAAAATGGATTATATAGATCACTATGCTATAATTCTATTCTTCAACTTATAGCACACTCTTCAACTCACTTCCCTACAATAGAAATGCAATATATAAGTATGTCCCTTATATATCTAACAATAAATATACAATATATATTCTATATACAACTATATTAGTTTAATTAATCTATACCTAAATTGTAATTATTAGAATGAATTCAGTTCCAAGGATTCAAACGGACCCATGCTATTGAAATTTTCAACTTCTCTTAGTTGCCATTATTCTAAGTTTGCATTCTCTTGGTTGTCGATATGTTAACTTGCCTTTGTTGGTACTGGATGTAATGGTCCTACAACCGATGATCATAGGGTAGCAGTCCGCTGCCCACGTGGGAACACATATGCTATACATCTAGACAGTGTAGGCTTCGGCCTAGGCAGCTAGGTTGCCTAGGCTAAGTAATATTCTCAAGTGTTGGATTCTGATGATCTAGATCTAAGATAAATGCCTAACCAAGTTGTGTGGCACCAGAGCTCCAACCAAACAGTCCCCTACTGCTTTTGCCTCAACTCCCTGGATCACGCTGTATTAGTGAGTTGATTCCTCGCCTCACCCACATAGAAAATGCCCTCCTCCTTCTTCACTCTCTAACACGACCTTGAATCGTGAAGGAAAGGTGGGCGGTGGTTGAGAAAGGCAATCTTATTGAAATTAATAACCGCATTTTCCAAGCAAAAGTTATCATCCTTTGCCCCTTTAAGTAAAGAGATCAAGAAGGCAAACTTCCGAAAACATGATATATCACGTGGCAGTGGCAAAGGCCAAAAGCTTTTAGGAGCCTGAACGATCATCATTATACAAAAATATTTACCTAACAAATTGCAGTGTTCTTTTTTATAAAAAAATTCTTTTAAATTTCATCGACAGGCCTAGACAGTCGCATGGGGTAGCCAGGCGGTTGCTCTGCTACTGTCACGTGGTATGGATTGCCAAGTAGTAAAGCTCCACCAAGTTACGCTCCCAGTCACGGTGTTGGATTTACAACACAAGACTTTCGTCAACCAAAAGCTAGTTGCGTGAATCACAAAGTCTCGCTAGCGCCACCTAGGTCTTCCGGTGGTGTGAATCACAAAGTCTCGCTAGCGCCACCTAGCTCTTTCGGTCATCTTGATGTCGTGCACACTATAGAGCTTCTCCAAAACGGAGAGGATCTTCTCATCCCCACACACCAATAGGATGCCACTCCATACAAAAAATGAGGGAGGTCACCACACCTTCACCGAACGGTCACAAGGACCTCTGGCACTCTAGCTCACGATGATATACGAGAATAAACTTCACAGGTTTGTCCTAACCTTGATGTGATTCGTTGGGTGGTTCCTAACCTTGATGTGATCCGTTGGGTGGTTTTTGATACTTAAACGGTATTCACAGATGATCCTCACTGACACTAGAAAAAGAAAACAGACTGTATTCACCGATGATCCTCACTCACACTAGAAAAGAAAAACAGATTGTATTCACCTTCACCGTATTCACAGATGATCCTCACTGACACTAGAAAAAGAAAACAAATTGCAAAATGAGAGACTGACACTAGAAAAAGAAAACAAATTGCAGAAAAGGAAAACATATTGTATTCTCCTTCACCGTATTCACAGATGATCCTCACTGACACTAGAAAAAGAAAACAAATTGCAAAATGAGAGACTGACGCTAGAAAAAGAAAACAAATTGCAAATTGAGAGATGTGGAGGACGCGGGGAATCGAATCCCGTGCCTCTCGCATGCGAAGCGAGCGCTCTACCATATGAGCTACGTCCCATCATTTGTCTCCCTCCGATGTTAAGATCTTTTCCAACAGGCTAACCATCTTTGCCTGTTAACAACAGCCGGCAACGTATACCAGATGTTGATTAATGATAAAAAGCGAATCGATTAGAAGTCACTCAATGTATTGGTACAACACAACCGACACAGATGGAGAAAGAAAAATGCAGTATCATCGACGAGTTTCAATGGAAGTCCCTCACAGGCCTAAAGGTAAGGCATATGATGAGCTAAACGCCTCTTCAGATCACAGCAGCTAGCAGAGGCGACATGCTGTGCCCTCCCTGCTGCTGCTGGCTACTAGGGCCCTCGGCACATCCAAGGGCCAACGAATGATATCACCAAAGCCAAGGGTCAAACGGCTACCATTGCTGTTGGTGCTAGGAACCGGCAGTTTCATCTTCAGATGAAACATCGTGCTTGGATGACAGCTTCTGTTTCCGGCCGTTCCTCCTCCGGCTGGTGTTTGGACCTCGCGGCGTTGCCGCTTGTTTCGTGTCGCTCACCTGCAGAAGACAAGATAAAAATTAAAAGGCCACCATCAAATGCAGAAGATTCTATTCCCTTGAATTAGTCTAGCCAAGGAGGAGCTTAAGAGCAACAGCCATATTTCATTCGTATACCAGAGCATAGGTTCCCAAGGAAAAGAAACCAGCACACCACTTGTTTCATGGGGTTCTCAAGGAAAAGAACAAATATGGAGCATCAGAGCATAGATTCAGGCTTATCATCAGGCACCCAGCTGAATGGCAATTTAAAGTACGACTAGGAGGACCATGAACAGTGTTCCAAGAAAAGAGTGCGGACAAGTCAGCAAAGGCACAACACAATGTAGCAATCCAATTATCCAAGAAAGTGATATCTGTAAAGCAGAAAATGACATGTGGCCGATCTATCTATTCAGATGCCAAACTGGTAATAAACTCAACAAAAATTAAAACATTGCTACCACCCAAAATGACAGAATATGTAACCAAAATGACATGGAATATGAGACATATCACATCATAAGGATATGAAAAATCCACTTTCACACAGCTATATTGGGAGAAGTGGTACAGCGGACTGTTCCACCATATGGACCACACCAACAGCACCGTGTACCTGTCATCGAAAAGCCTTATCCAGTCGTATGCTAAGCAAGTCTTCATGTCAAGCATACATCTAGTGGTGGAGCTTTTCGTAGCCCCCATGGGACCCAATCAATATAAAAAGTTTCAGCAGAGACCTTAACAGTTTATTGGACTATCATGTGATCATTATTATGACTACTAAACGCCCCGAAGGGCTTAGGTACAAAGATAGAATGGGGCCCAGCAAGTGACCTAGAACTAACATCCCTTGGCAAATGAATAAAATGATAAACCAAAAGGCTAGATAAAAAAAATATATATATTTATAAAACGTGCAGCCATGCTGAATTTCTGTTTCTTCATAAACCTTATAAATACCAAATACACCAGGGCAAAATAACACATTCCATAACATAGCATAGGAAGAGGTAACAGTGAAAGCAACATCCAAGATCAAGACAGATGACGTGAACACATATGAGCATACTATCAAGCGATATCAGCACTTAAAGACTAGCACTGTAGCTAATTTTACATAGCTGCACAATTCTTTTCATAACCACCTAGGGACTTCATACTTCTCAAGTGAATCTACAGGTGCCTGAAATTATGATGAGAAAAAGGCACTCACATAGCACCACAATCATTTTTTCCACAAAAAAAGGAAAGCATAAAACAAAATGTCAAAGTGGGCGCAAAAGTCACCATTTATATAACAACAATCTCCTACATCACACTTGCTTTTGTTTTAGATGTGTGGCCAATTGCATGACCTTCGTCAGAACCAAATTGTAATAAGACCACACTTATCTAAAAAAACATAACTATGGCTCCTGCCATGTTGCATCATTATCAAGCAGAGTAAATTGATAATGACAAGTGCACTTACCCCAAAACAAAATCCAGCCTGGCTGTGACCTGCACCACCTTCAACAGGCCTTGGAGGCTTCCCTGAGTCCATTGCGGATGAACCCCGCTTATTGAAGCCATTACATGATGGCACCTCTGCCTCCTTTACTATAGTAGGAGGAGGAGGGGACGGTGATGATGAAGGTGAGGTCGAGCATGTTCTACTTTTGGCTTGCCCCTGAACTTGATGGCCCTTAGCAGTCCCATTGCAGAATCCTGAATCAATATCAGACTGGAACATGTCCACAAAAAGCTGCTGCAGCTCCTCAAAGCTTTCCTGCCTCTACAAATCCAACAGTCAAAGGTTATTGTGCTGTCATTCTCATATTTAATTTTTGGATACATCATGTCCAGGAAAATTATGCCGATTTCCAGCTATTTTATGGTAAAAAAAATTCACCTAAAAGTTCAGCTTTTAGTATCCACTAAAAACCATGGAGGATACGGAGCTTTCATAACAATTCCTTCTTTTTTAAGCCTGTGGACGTATGAACATGAAACATACAAAGATATTGAAGGTCGTATAAGTTGCTTTGGGTAAACCAAAGGAAGGCCTTGGGAACTCACTCCCATGCAATTTTAATACCCTAACATATATTTCCTCTACAAAAATACCCTGACACATTTTAGGATACAAAAGATCATGTTCGCACAAAAGGTTTCAACATCTTATTTCCTGGCGACTTCATTTTCCCATAATAAGAATAAATAAATTCTGAGAAAGATAAAAAAACTATATGATACACAGAATAGGGACCACAATGTAGAAAAGTCTGTACATGTTAGGTCTGTTTAGAGTAACACATTTTGTTATAAGTTTGTTGAGAAAACATATACTTGTGGCCCCACCTAGGATTATGCGAAAAGGAAGTGGTAAAACCGAGTGTGTCTGTACTTGTAAGCATAGCTCTAATAACAAAGAATGGGTGCTAGCTGGAATTTTCATGCTAAAGCAGCATGCGTGTGACAACCAAATCTAAATATGGCTGCTCCAGCTAATCATGGCCTTGATGATACTACAAAGAAGCATCTGGAACTAGGACCAATAGTGATATGAGCTCTTACCGTCGGCCCCACCTGGCTCATCATCTGGGCCATCTCACCAATGAAGTCCCCCATCCCCTGTATCTGCAGCAACAGCAGAAACCGTCACCCTACTGTTATATCCAGAATTATGCAACACAAAGAACAGTTCAGTTAGAGACGCATACGCTATCCTCGTCATCCTCATCGTCATATACTCCCACATCGTAGAGGAGCCGTTTATTGGCGTCGGAGAGTACTGCACAAGAACAATGGGATGGGAGCACAAGGGCTCCACGCAATGAGTTTACCAACAGGCTAGATAGGTTCTGTTTGCTGGTGTTCAGTTTATTAGTTGTTGGTCAGTCGTTGTAACAGGTGAGGGGTGGTTTGCGAGTATGGAACAGAGCAGTGGGGCAGGGGCAGGGTGCTTAGAGAAGGAAGATTGAGACCAGAATAGGCGCCCTGGATCTCTTGGAACTTCTCCTTGGCTTCCTCCATGTGCTTCACGCTGCTGGAGGAGGAGCATTTGTCCGGGTGCCACTTCTGCACAGCAATTGGACAGAATCATTACTTCATTAGGGATCCTCTCCAATGAATATGTTTTAAAATTGGAACAGAATATAACGGCATACTTGTGTTGGCATGCATTGGGATTCAGTGTCTGATTAGTAGGACAAAACATTGACGCACACAACAAAAAGGATTTCACCTACGAATTTGGTTTTAAAAAATCACCTTGGGGAACTTGGCGCCAATGTATCTGCCTGCAAACTCGAATCACCGGCGGAGAAGGTTTTTTTTCTCTCTCTCTCGACAAATTACAACGACGCCAGAAAGGCACGCGCGATGCTAGACAGTTAAATCAACAACGATATGCAGCAGCAAGCAACCAGGAGCGGAGAGACGGCGCGGAATCAGGAACCGAATTGCTGCCTCTCACCTTGGCGAGCTTCCGGTAAGCGACCTTGAGGTCGGCGTCGGAGCACTCCTTCTTGAGCCCAAGTACGGCGTAGAGGTCGCCGCCGCCCTCACCGCCCTCCGCCGCCGCCGCGTCGCCACACTTGTCTCCCCCGGCGTCCATGCCGCGAGGCGAGAGGAGACGTGTAGCTCCCCCGGCAGCACGAAGGTTGATAGGTACCCACGGGTGCGACGCGGGGCGCGCAACGGAAGAGCCGACGCCGGCGGTGGGGGAGGAGGGAGAGAAGGGGAAGGAAGCAAGCAAGCGGATGGCGCGGCTGCTGCTGCTTCTCCGTTCGTCCCCCCTCCTCTCCCTCTGCCTCCACGCGTCGCAGGAAGCCTCCAGAAACACGGCCATGATGCCCACTTGCCCGTTAAATATTTGGCTCTCACTCCCCGTAGGAAATTCCGAGCTTTTCTTTTTTTTGGCGGTTTGCTCTTTTGGGCGTGGGCCCTGTTTCCATATGCTACTGTGCGTGTTAATTAATTGTCGTCGAAAAATACCTCTCGCAACATTTCAATATAAGCATCAACATAAACCAAATTTCAACATAAGCGAGCAGGGTGCTATAACTCGCTCGCCCCGCCTGGAACAGCGTAAAATTTTCCCACTCTTCCTACGAAATTGAACTGATTTTCTGTAAAACTTTGATGCAAATTTGTAAAATTTGTATGTTCCAAACTGAATCTAAAAAGGCTTCCAATCGTCGCTGAAATTTTGAAGGGATCTTTTCAGTCCAGAACTCATATGATCATGGTCCCTCTCCTTCAGTGTCCTAGTACCTCTATATATAGTACAGTACTTTTTCATTTAGAAGGGAACCCTTTTAAGATCGTCAACTCCTACATATGGCTTCGAATCAAGTGGCAATCAAAGGTTAGCTTTGTAGGGTCGTGATGGTTATTCTACCACTCCAACCAGCGAAGCATGCATTTGTTGATTCTCACTGACAGTATATATTGTAACGTTACCTACAGTATAACTGCCCGGTAAAGAAAAAAATACCTCTCAAATTATTATTTTAACTACTTAGCTTGTGTTAAACGTCTTTTATTTTAGTATATATATAAAGGTAAAGTTTGATTAATAGCTCGTTTAAAGATAATCTTCCAAGGTCGTTACCGCGCTTTTGTTCTTTTTGAAAGCATCCACTAGTGATAATTGGACTGTCATTAGCGTTGAAAACGGACGAAAAAAATCCCGTTTCAACCCGTTCCGATTTTTCCGTCCGTTTCCGTATCCGTGAGATCCTACGAAAACGGGAGAGGGTTTTTTCGTCCGTTTCCGTCGGATCTTGTTTTCATCCGGAAATTGACCCGTATTTGTTCCTTTTTCTTCCCGTTTTCAATCTACGTGAGATATATCTAGGAATTGATATGTTCGTAAACCTACTAATCATCAATTATGCATGTTAATATGTTAAAGAATGGCATGCTAGTGAATATTGGACCGATAACTTCGTACGTATATATTATTTTGTAACTTTGTTCATGTATACTCGAGAATATTTGATCATGTTATTCTAAATAATTTTCTAGCTCTCCGTCCGTATTTGTCTGTTTTTGTATTTCCGTATATCCCCATCCGTTTTTAATTCCGTTTTTTTTTTGAACCCGATCCCGTTTACGCTAAAAATATAGAAACGAAAATGGAAGATGAGTTTTTCCGCCCGTAATTTTGGAGGCTGTTTGGTCTACAGCCAACACCAGCCACCAGCGTTGTGGCGACGCCAAACTTTAGGTGGAGGAAACGGCCACGGCAGGTGTGGCGAAATTTAACGAAGGAAATCTTATGGCTGCCACAACTGACTCACAAACCAAACACCGGTCAAGTTTCTGTGGCAGCCATAGCTAGAGCGAGGCAAACGTTGGCAAGCAACCAAACAACCCCTTGGTTTGTAAGAGATTTAATCTATTTGAACCCCTCTAATCTCTAACAAGCCGAACAAGAACAACCTGATCCAAGGGTCAAATTTCGACGGGAAAGCATGGTTAAACTAAATGGTTTAACAAGACGTTAACTAATAAGATAACAGTCAACAGACGTCTGAATACCAGTTTGCCCGTTTGCTGCAAACTGGGGCCAGCGACGGTATTGCTCAAAGCAAACTGTGGCCATGGGCCCATCAGCACACCCAGCATCAGCGCAACATCGTACAGGAAGCCCCGAGAAGCCAGTGGGCCCCACTGCCAGCAGTTGCGAAGTACCGGTCGTGCCCACGCGCCGGCGTGCGATCCGGGCCGTTGGCTGCGGATGGCGCTGAGACGGAACGGCCGGGATAGGCCCGCGGGGAGGCGCGCCTCCAGAAGGTTCCCAATACTGCGCAGGCGTGCGGCTGTTCCCCGGGGCCCGGGCGTTGTGCCTCGTGGGTCCCACGCGCCACCCCCTTCGCTGCGCGGACCAACAGGCCGCTGCTGCTGGGCTGGGACTACGCACTACGGCCACTGGCCCAGGGGACAGTCGGCCACGCGCCACTCCACGCAGTGCGCCGTGCGCATGGCTCACGACTGCGGATCGGGTCGCAGCGGCCAGGGGCCCAGAAAGTTCGGTCACGCCCCGGTCCACTGTGGAGCCGGTGCACGGCGAGGAGCGCTGCTCTCTCCGCGCAGGTAAAGCGACGAGGCGAGTAGGAGGTGGACGGGCGTTGGATGGGGACGGGACGCTGCGCTTTTTTTTATTTGATATTATAATGACGCGGCCCTTTTGGAATCATCGTGAACTTTATGGTTCTTTTATTAGATGTTTCTTCGCCTTGCCTAGGTCACCAAGAAAAAAATCTGTTTGGATTTTAGATAAGCCGAGTCTATGCTGTACGGTGGGAGAGAGATTTTTCTTTGTTGTTTCGCTCGATACTATGCTTCGCCGAGCGAGAACGTGGTTTGGTTTTCTTGTCCGAGTGCTTCGAAAACAATGCACTCCCTCAGTCTTGGATTTAAAGGAGGAACAATAGTAAGTGTAAAAAAAAAAGAGGAACGATAGTAAATATAGCAAATAACATTACTACCCCCTATAAACCCTTTAAAAAGTACATCTCACTGTTTCACTCCTTCACACAAAAAGTCGCAGTTGTCGTGTTCTCTTCTTTTTCTAAACTCGATTATTTACTTCTTTTGGTTTCACTTTTACCCAGAACATTCCACCTAGGATGGGAATGAATCGTATCGATCAATTGGGTAGTTGATCCGACCCAAAAAATAATTGCCACGTTCGCTGGACTTATAAATTGTATTTTTTTAGTTAATAAATAGTATTTTTTCATAATAAATCAGTCACCAGTACTTTTAGTCATGACTTATAAGCAAGCGAACATAACAAGTGGTAGTTCACATGCGCGTTGCAGGCACTGTTGGTGTTCCTGCTACAGTATTCACCGAGGGGAAATTTGTGGCTGTAGCTACAGCAACTTGTTAATACACCTACTAGGAGTTAATTCCTTTTTTATAAACCTAGTTAGTCTGAAAATTAATTGAGGAAAAAAGCAAGATTTATATTTCGTTTTGATGGAGCGATTATATTTTTCTTGATATGGGTAGTACAAAGCATGATCTGTTTTCAGAGATAGCATGCAGAAGGATCGTGCCATGTTGGACGTTTTGGTCACTGGGATGAGAATGAGAGCGCAGATGGACTGCAGACAAGGTAGGATTTGGTTTTGTTGAGATAAAAAGAGAGAGAGGATTTGGTTTTGTTGGGCTACTGTGGAAAGCTTTCAGCTGTTGGGCCTTAGGTTATTCCTGTTGGGTCTATCTTGAATCGAAAGGGTTAGCGCCTGGACGTCCAACAGCAAGAGGCGTCCGGACGATGCTTCCGTTCGAGCGTATCCGCTGCATCCCGTCCCATCCCGTCCCCACGAAATAGAAGCGCCCTCCATCCCATCTCCGTAACAGAAGCGCACTCGTAACCCCGCGGCGCCGACAAACATGAGTGCGCCTGCCGCGCCCACCTCACCCCACTTGCGTATGTGCGCCGCGGAGACGTCTGCCGGCCTCAGGCGCCCACACGGTGACCCACTATGGCGCCTCAGCAGCACCAGGGGGTTGTGGCAAGTCAGTCACATTGCAACATGTGCAACACCCGATCTAATTTTGAAACATTCATATGCAACACTTGCAACATACGTCTGAAGACAGATTAAACACTTGAAACATGCGTCTAAAACACTTGCAAAACACACCTGGAAACACTTGAAAACCATTGTAAAACAACTCAACATCCAGATAAACAACGCAACATGTGTGAAACATATGTAACATACGTATAAAAAATAGATTAAACATTAGGAACAGATGTTTGCAACATACGTTTACAACCATTGCAACATATGTAACATCCCGATCTACTTTTGCAATAACCATACGAAACACTTGCAACATACCTCTGAAATACTTGAAACTTACGTTTGCAACATGCGGTTTCAGCGCAACATCTCCTTGCTGCTTGGGAGAATAGAGCATCGTCGGTGTGTGGAGTTCACCGGTGTAGAGCTCGCCGGTAGCGCGAAGATCGTCGCTCCGGTGAGGAAGGCTGTGGCGGGTCACTCTGGTGGAGAAAGAGAGAGAGGGCCGGGGAAAGGCCTACTGGTCGCCGCTCCTGGCATGAGCCGCCGCTGGAAAGGGACAAAAGTGACCGCCTGGGCGCGATGCAGAATTGAAGCCGCACGACGAACGATGGGAGCGGTAGAGAGGGAGAAAGGCGGGCGACAGCGCTCGGGCGTGGTGAAGAGGAAGGATGGTGGTCGACTAAGCACAACGGAGAGCACTGCGGTGGAGCACAACGACGATTCGATAGTGGGTTCGAGAGGGAAGTGAAGAGTGGAGTTTTTTTTATTAAGCAACGGGAGATAGTGTGCGGACGAGTGGCAGTGTTGGGCCGTCTGTGGGGCGTCAAGGCCCACGACAAGCGTCCGGATGACCAGACACCCTACCCATAGTATTTCCAATTTTGAATTTGAGAAAAAACGGATCAAATACAGGACTTTTGTAGCTAAATGCGGTATCTTAAGAAAATGGACGGGTTAAACCGTTCCTGTTTCTATCCTTGTCCCCAACATCTTGTCCCGTGTGTCTCGTCCTGTTTTTGGATTTTGTTTCTAAAAAAGTAGTAAAATACATCGACAGATAAAATATACAACGGCGGCCTGTAGCGTGTTTGGACAGGATTTTACCCGTTCATTTTCAACCGTAGATGTAAAATGTATGATAGGTATGCTCGCTCATTACAGTGGCATGTAGCGTGTTTGGATGATCTAGTTCTATTATATGCTAATTTTTAGCGTTTGCTAGCATCCTTCTTGTTAATAGATTTTGTTAATATAATATGTTTGGATCCTTAGAATTGAATTCATTTTAATAATTATAATTTGGACATATATGAATTAAGATAATATGGTTGTATATGGATTATATTAATATATTATTGTTGGCTATACGAGAGATACCATGTGTTGCGTTTCTACCATAGGAGAGCGTGTTATAAGTTGCAAAGTAGAAACATAGAATTGTGATTTATAGAGTCAATTTCCATATTCCACTCTATGAATTTGAGATAGACTTATATGTGAACTTTAAAAAATGATGGAATGTTCAATTCCAAGCCAAGTTGCCTAATCTATTAAGTATATTTTAATTTCTCCAAATGAAAGAATACAAAAGACCCCTAAGTGAAAAGTTGGCTTAGCTAGCACAACTTATTTAGATCTATCTTTGTTAATTTTAGCATATTAATACTAGCTGTTACATACTACGATCAAACAAGACCTAGTCTATTGACATGGTGAAGCCCATGGCAAGGAGACAGGAGGAACGAGAAGTGTAGAAGTAAAACCTATCTAAGGAGACACGAGTAGAATGATATATGAGTTAGAGTATATCTAAACAGGCAAGTGCGAAAAGTTGTGCTAGAAAAATTAATTAGCAAGGTGAAACAACTTGGTCTCGCAAAAAAAAAAATAGCAAGGTGAAACTTGATGCTAAAAATCAGTACGCTAAAGTAAGCACATCCAAATGGGACCTACCTAGACAGAGGTTGCAGGCCCCCATCCTTCAGTTAGGCACTGAGGCCTCACGCCAGACCTACTACATGGATCTCGTGCATCTGCGAAGTGCCGCGGGTTTGTAGGCAGGAGCCCAACCGGCCCACGAAAAATCGGCCTAACTGCGGCCCAAGAGCATTTTACTGAAGCAGCTGCTCCCCGTAGGGCCGTAGGCCAGTCACTGCGTTCTTCCAAGTGGCTCCAGGACCTTCCGGACGCGACAGCACACCACCTCTGTGAAACATCTCGAACTTTCGTTGCCGCTCACTTTATACCCCCATCCCCTTCCTTTTCGCCTCGCCACATCGCAGAGCTCAGAAGCAAGGGAAGCCACCGCAGATCTCACCACTCGAACACAGTTGGATCAAGCGAGCCGCGTAGTGTTTAGTGCGAGAGAGAGAGAGAGAGAGAGACATGACGGAGCTGTTCGACACGGCCGTGACCAGCCTCCTCCACCTGCCGGAGGTGCTGGACCGCCTCGCCGCGGCGGACGGCGACCGGTGCTCGGGCGGCCACCACGCGGCGCACCAGCACGGGCACGCCCGCGTCCATGGGCTCGGCGGCGGCGGTTACGGCGGCGGCGCGCCGGTGGACATCGTGGAGACCCCCGGTGACTACGCGTTCGTGGTCGACGTGCCCGGCCTCTCCAAGTCCGACATCCAGGTACGCTCCCGCGCCGCGCGGTTTCGCCATCCATCCTCGTTGGCCATCCTCGCTGATGACCAGACTGAGGAAACTGACCCCATCCGCCGTGCGCGTCGTTTCAGGTGACGCTGGAGGAGGACCGGGTGCTTGTGATGAAGGGTGGCAGCGGGAAGCGGAAGCGCGAGGAAGAGGAGGAAGGCGAGGGGTGCCGGTACATCCGGCTGGAGCGCGGCGCGGCACCGCGGTCGTTCGCGCGCAAGTTCCGGCTGCCGGAGGACGCGGACACGGGCGGCGTCGCGGCGCGCTGCGAGAACGGCGTGCTCACCGTCACTGTGAAGAAGCTGCCGCCGCCGGAGAAGAAGACCAAGTCCGTGCAGGTCGCCATCGCCTAGAAGTCCGCAGTCGTTCGGCACTGGCAGTGGCAGAGTAGCAGTAGAATCGTAGTGGTACGTACGTAGTGTCATGTTGGGTGCTCTATTGTTTATGTTTCTGCTGATGGTGAAGCTGAGGGGTGTGCGCGACCGTGCTTCTTTTGTGAATGGAATGAAATGGAATCGTCTCCAAGTGCTTAAGTGAAACCTGCAAGATTCCAAGTATTACGTACTCTAGTAGTCTAGTATCTATTTCGTCTCGTGTCCGTGTCTGCGGTCCAAATTGATCGTCGTCTCGTTGCCATTTCTTGGTCTCTAGTCTCTACTAAAACTTGGGTCAAATTTGGTTTCAGTCTCAAGAATTCCGAACTGTGACGAGGCGATTACCATCGTCATTATAGTAATGGAATTTAACCGTTCTGTACCTTGATCCACAGCGCGACAACGTCGACGTCCGGCGGAGTTCAGACAGGGAACGTAGCTGGTGCACAAGCACAATGACGCGTCGCACGCACACCACCTTGTGACGGAGCAGGGAAAGAATGGAAGGGCGGCACCTGGAAAGGCTTCTCTTGGTTCGTTCCTATCGCTTGCCGTCTGTTTGCCTTGCCTCCCTCCGTGGTTTGTTTTGAGGTTTCCCCGCAATGCCGGCCGGAGCTGTAGGTGCCTAGGTGGGCGGCGCGACGGCCGGAGCTGGAGGTGCCGGGGTGCGGGGCGATGCCGGCCGGGGCCGCATGCGTCGGTGGGGGCTGCCGCAGGCCGGACCTGTAGCTGACGGGGTGCGGGCGGTGCCGGCCGGAGCTGCAGTTGCCGGGTTGGGGAGCGGCGGGGGCGACCGGGGGTTACGAAGAGATGGGCGGCGGCGGTGACTCCGTATTGGCACATGAGAGAAGAGAAAGAGAAAGATGCATCAAGATTGGTGTTGCCGAGATAGCTGGTGCGGCCACACACGGATGCGGGCGTGCTTTTCCCCTTCAATTACACTCTGTGTGGGCGAGTGAGCTTGGCTAGCTTCGTCTTGGGCGTCACCATTCTTGATTCTTCTTTCTTCCTCCAATAATTCAGCATCGTGTACCCTGGCCTGCTCGACGGACATCGACAGCGACCAAGAACCCACTGACCCTGTAGAATTCGCCTGACCACCGTTATCGCTTGACGGGTCCCATCCCAATTCCCACAGGACATGGACACCCGACGCTGGCCTCGTTTTCTTCTTTCGTTCGTGTGGTTGGGAGCTAGGCGCCTAGCCTACACACTGCTCTACACGGCTCGAGTGACAGAGCAATGTGTCGGCCGGAGGAAGGACACTCCGTTCCGATTCCGATTTGACCTGCTGCGTGCGACTGCCGCACCACGCCCGCGGCCCACGCGTGGTGTGCCGGTAGGACGTGGCAGGCTGCGCACCGGCGAGAGCGCGCAGCAGCCCCGTCCAGTCCGGGACAAGCGGCCAAGTGGGCGCCTATAGGACGTCCGGATGGACGAATGTTCTGTTGTGGAATGTGAGCCCAAAGACCCTCTTCCAAACCTATCTTAACTGCACGTCTAGAAGGCTCTCCCGTCACGTATTTTCTCTAAAAAACCACGGTAGCGTCTGGACCGTGCTTTGTCGCGCCGTCTCGGTGTTCTCCATGTAGTACAGGCGCTCGCCGGCCAGCATCTACCACTGTGCCCGAGCGTGTCCGTTCGCCTTCCAGATTGAATGGCTTGACTATGTGTAGCATTGAGAAGAATGTTTTGGACGACATTGACTCGATATTGTTTCTGAAGATTTTGCATTAAGAAATGCCCAAAAACGGTTTTTTACAAGGCACTGAAGCATTCTATTTTTATTTGAGGTGATCATAATAGTTATTGTTCTTTTAATTTTTTTGTTGTATTATAGTTATCTTTTATCAACTAAATATATGTTGCAAATTAACTTTAATTATTCATACTATATATTAATCTTTACATTAAAAATTTGGTTCAACGGGCCCTTATCATCTTGTTTGCCTAAGGGCCCTTAAAATCGTAGAGCCGGCCCTGCTCCTGGCCCTTGTGCCCGAGCAAAACAAATTCCATTGATTTGTGCTCTACTTTTTTTTTGACTTGTCCATGTACTTAGTAGGTACAATGAGTGACATATGATTGGTTTACATTGTCTAGTAACTATTTTTACAAAATTTTTTATATTTACAGTAAATTGTTTAATGTAATTTCTATGTCAGGTTGATGTAAGCTGGGTATAAGGTAGATTGTATTCAGTTGTTCTCAATTTGTGTAAGTTTCCTTTTTTTATTTTTTTGAAGGAATTTGTTTTGCTTTTGTGAAGTATTTGTCATGTTTATCTTTGCTCTTTGGCTTCGATAGAAAATTTTTGGAAATTTGTGAAGTATTTGTCATATATATCTTTGCTATTTGGCTTCCATAGAAAAAATTTGGAAATTTGTGAATTTGTGAAGTATTTGTCCTATCTATCTTTGCCATTTGGCTCCCATAGAAAAAAAATGGAAATTTGTATTTTTGAAGTATTTGTCATGTCTTTCTGTGTTCTTGGTGAGTATTGCTTGTAGCTTTGTGCTCTGGATAATTTCTTTTGCTCTATTCATGTAGTTAATAGGTCATATTAGTGGCATCTGAATTTTTCTGTATCCATGATGGTCTTTCTCCATTGTTGGTGAGTATTATTTGCTGTTATTCTTGACATTGTGTACATGTGTTCTTTTTCCTTATTTGTGTGCTCCTTCTCTTGTTTGTGGCCTATGATGCAAAAGATGAGATGTTTGCTCCACGTTCGTTCATTGTTGCAGATGTTTTTCATGATTGTCGTCAAATCCTTCTGAACCATCCATTCTCCAGCAACTCCAGTTTCATACTAGGTTGATGGCAGAGAATGGATGGGCACAAGGGTTCTATGGTAGGCATGATATTTTGGTTTATACTGCTTTGTAGTCTTATGATTAAAATTGAATCTGTCTAACTATCATTCGGTTGACATGTAGCAATTATGTTAAACTTATATGAATTGTAGCAGCGAATTCGAAAGCTGAGGCTAAAATTTTCTTGATTCTGAAGTTCAGTTGTTGTTTTTTTGCATGCGTAGATAAAATTTGGTAATTTTGTTTCCTGAAGAGTTTGGAGTTTGTTTGTGAAGAATTTGGCATTTATTTTTCTGTTTGCCTTCATGGTTCATGTACTCCCTATCTTCTGTAGTCTGTAGATGTACATGTTGAAGTATGACAGCATGGACGGCTACTGGAATCTCAGTGACCCTGTTCGGCTGGGGCTGAAACGATCGTATACGATCGTGGATTATTACTGCTGGCTGGTTTGGTGTGAGAGAAAAATACTGTTCTGACTGAAAATTTATGATCGTTTACGACCAAGCGAACAGGCCGCACCTTGGATTTTGAAGACCCTCCTCTTTGGTCAGAGCCTGGTTTCCGTCTTTTGGCATTATGTCATGCTTCTTTTCATGGTTTTTTTAGTGTCTTAGCTCACAGGTAATGTTTGAAATGTTTGCTATTCTTCAGGAATCCTGTTTGCTCACTTTAGTATTGGAGAATCTCTGGTTTTATCACAGAGAGGCGGTAACTGTTGCTGACTTTCAAGGTACAGCTGTTGCTTCATGTTCCTATATGTGTTTTTTTTTATGTTTTTCATTTTCGTTTGATCATTTGCATGCAGTGGTCAAATTGATTGATGGCTAACTAGTCTTTGGATTCACATTTTTGTTGAATTGTATTTACAATTTCATATTTGCATATTTACACTAAACTGTGCAGTGTATTTTTGGTGTCTGGGTGATGTAAATTTAGTGCAAGGTCCCTTATGGTTTTGTTAGTTATTTGTATTTGAAGTTTTTTTATTAATTTGTCTTGATTTTATAATTGTTAGATTTAATTGTTAATTTGTAATTGTTAATTTGTTTGTTTTGTATGAGTCATCGTTGGATGTAGATCAGAGGGTCTTAAATTCATATGTTTTTCTGTGTTTGATCATTTGATTATGGCTCCTTGTAGAATTCCGTTGATTTGGCCTCATCCATCAACCGAATGATAGGATAGGCCAAATCAACCGAATGATAGGTAGACAGATCCGAATTTTATACCAAACCTATACGTGTACCGTGTGTATATGCATTTATAATGGCAAATTGGTAATCCACGTAACTGATACAGAGATGAGCGCGTTGCTACCAAGAGCATTTTCATGTTGACGTCACGTCAAGAGTCTATGATTTAATGACATCCAATTATTCACAGGTTTACTGTGTTTTTCATCCTTTCTTTTGTACTAGTGTGACCCACCAATTAACCACGTACTAGGTAATAAAATATAATCTCCTAGTAGCAAAAGGAAAACACGAGTAGTACAACAGTAAATTAAGCTGGCACTATCACTCTGAGTTTTTTTAAGGGACTGTGTGTTGGATTTGGTACAACAGTAAATTAAGCCGCAACGCAAGGTCGTGTGGTCCTTTTGTAGGCAAAGGGCCGGTTGGCCCTACGGAAGGCTCCAAAGTGTGTGGCGCGTGCAACGTGTGCCTTGGCCGGCCGGTGCTCCCCCCATCGAGGGCCCACAATCATTGAAGCGCCCCCGGCACGCAAGCCCCGAGACTCCGAGAGGATCTCCAACCGGGCACTTCCGCGGGTCAACCTGCAGGCTCCTTCTCTCTCGCCCCTAGCACCCTACCCCCGAGTTGACTTGACCGTATATCTTACAAATCTGGCCAGCTTGTCCAGCATGTTTTCCTTTGCGCAGGGAGTTTCGTTGCGTTGTTGTCAAAAATGGAATATCAACGCTGACGCCAAAAATTAAAGGATGAAGTTCTTTCTTCCTCTATTTCAAATTATAAGATGTTTTAGCTTTTATAGATACATTACTTTTATTTTATATCTAGATATAATTTATCGGAAACGCTTCAACCCGAGCGAACGACCCTCCCAAAAATATCGGATATACTCTAGACTCATCTCAACCACTCATTCTCTATATTAATTCTTATCCACTCATTTCTCAGCCTCCACTGACACTGCCTCTTGCTCTACCTCTTCTTCAGACTCGCATCTGTCTGCCACACTCCACCCTGCGCGCCCCCTTCCCCCACCGCGCCCGTCCCTCCCCGCGCCATGCGCTTCACCCATCGCGCCACACCCCATCACCGACCGCACACTGCCCCATCCCCTGCTGCGCCCCAACCCACCTTGCTCATCGCGATTATGGCGTCACCAGGCCACTACCAACCCGACACCACCAGTAGGAGGTCGTCGCCGACCAGAACATCACCTCATGTGGCCAGTCGAAGACATCACGACAGGAAGAGAAGTCATGCAGCGGAGGTGTACGCTGAGCCGTTGTTCTCGATGTCCTCCTGACTCGAGCTTGCTGGCTACCCCAGTTCCCCACCAGGTAGGCCATGGCCACCGGTGACGCTGTGTTTAAGTGTTCCAGACGTTTTCAAACATTTTGCAAGATTATATTTCAAGTGTTTTAGTTGTTTCAGAGGTATGTTTCAATTGTTTCATACGTATATTGCAAAACCAGATTGGGATGTTGCATACGTTGCAATGGTTGTACACGTATGTTGAAAGTGTCTGTTCCTAATGTTTTATTTGTTTTTCAGACGTATGTTGCAAGCATGTTTATCTAGATGTTGCACATGTTCACACATATGTTACAAGTGTTTTATGCCGATGTTGCGTATGTTTGCAATGGCTTTGAAGTGTTTTCAGGTGTTTTTGCAAGTGTTTTAACTGTTTCTGACGTATGTTGCATGTGTTTTATTTGGATGTTGTAAAAGTAGATCAGGATGTTGCACATGTTGTAATGCAATATACGTATGTTTCAAGTGTATGTTCCAAATGTTTCAGCTGTTTTCAGACGTATGTTGCAAGTGTTTTATCTATATGTTGCATATGTTGTAGTGGCTATACACATATGTTGCAAGCGTATGTTCCAAATGTTTCATCTGTTTTAGATGTATGTGTCAGCAAATTCTTCATGTTGCAAGTGTTTCATGAGCAGGCGTGGTAAGCGGGTGCAGGCAGAGGCGGTCCCCGCGTGCGTGCGGGGAGCGAGGCGGGCGCGAACGGTACCCACGGAGTGGCGCGGGCGAGCAGGCGGGCAGCTAGGCGAGCGAGCAGGCAGTTGAGCATCGCAGTAGGTGGGTAGGCACAACAGGTGAGCAGCTGTAGACGTTCGTCCGGACGTCTGGGCGCTAGTAGTACCGATAGTTTTATAGCTAAGTGTATATCAAAACCTATTTATCTAGAAAAACTATAACATTTTGTATTTTGGATCAGATGGAGTAGCTTCTAGTAAAAAAACACATTAAATATGAAGATGCTCATATACAAATACACATACTCATCTTACACAAACATGCACATCTTATTTTTATGAATGTTTTGGAGAGACAAAGTTATTACAAACTCTAGTTGCCGATGGACAAATCATTTAGTATTGAAAGAACAATCGTCCTGTTCGCTTGGGCTTGTTTGGCTTATAAGCCGTACTTTTTCAGTCAACGAACATTATTTTTCTCTCACACCAAATCAGCTAACAGTGCTTTCACCTATGGCTTATCAGCCAAACAAGCCCAAGCGAACAGGGCGAATAGCCGTAAACCTAAGTAGCTACTAGTAGGTCTTAATATGAGGAATCTAACCAACAAAGCTACCATCGCTCCATTGTTAGTCTTAACCAACGATTTCTATAAATACTATGTATACGACATTTGAAAAGATAGTAATTTTTGTGGGCAATTATAGCAATGTTATCTTATGATGTCAATATACATATATTTTCTTATACCCATATCTATGTCTATATCTTGAAAGGAGAAAAATTCTTTCTTAGTCTTGGCCCTGTCCATCACTCTCTTTCTGGGTCTGTCTGTCCCTCCATTCCCTTGTGTGTATAGAAGTCTTGACCGATTTTAGTAAAGAATTAGACTTATGCATGTATTGTTTGATAAGAGTTCTTGCATACTCTATTTACTGTGCATGATCTAAGCTCATGACTTGTGCCCATATGACCTAGAACAACACGTGTACAGCCACGATACAGATTTCAATACGAATTAGAACAAATGACGTAAGCGCTAATAAATCTCTGAGAGGAAGTTGTCTAGATAATCGCACAACAAACTGTATATACAACCAACAAGTTTGTTACTTCCTCATTTTCAAATTTTAAGTTGTTCTAACTTTTATAAATACATAATTTCTTCTATGTATCTAGACATGATGTATATCTAGGTGTATAGTAAAATTTATGAACTTAGAAAAGACAGAACGACTTAAAGTTTAGAAAATTTGGAAACGAGGAAATATATAGTTTATGGTTAATATTTTTTTGAGCTGGATGGATTAGCTCATGGCATGTTATTGAGCTGACACCGGCTGGCATTGGTATGCTATTTTTCTTTGCTGGGAGGGAGACATTTATATGATATTGCCATTATTCTTATTATAAACCAGCCATGAAAACTACGCGGGATAGATATAGTGAGTCATGGACAAATGTCCAAGCAATCCTATGAAGTTTTATAACACAGAGTTGGCGTTGCTAAATATATAAAAAAGAACATGTGAACTTGTCGCCGGTTGGTTTCTTTAGGGGATAGTACGATATTTATTCTTTGTTGCTATCGGGAAATCTGCATCCTTTCCTTGCGCTGGCATTGTGTGTTTTTCAAGTCTCAGAACTATTCTATTGAACGTAGGAGTAAGTACGTAACAAAGACAGCTCCTTGAAATCCCAATTTGCCGGAACTCTCTCTTCTCCTAATTCCTAGCTGAAATCACAATATACGTAACCATTTAAGCAAACACATTTTCTGCCTTTGTGGAGATGACTAATAAGCAATATATAAATTACTAAAAAGAAATTAACCTCCATCTGTGTATTAACGCACAGCTCCTTAGTAGAGCAGTAACTTTTTTCTTTTTGTGGAGTGTAATAATAAAAATCAAATAATTAATAATTAGATATATATGGAGCACGCAAAACTCTGCTTGCTCGCTGAATCGCAGACAGGAAACTGACCTGTACCACTCAAATTGCCCCCCCTAATTACGTCTTTCACAGTCATCACGGCCGTGCCAGGCTGCAAAAACCAGCGTCACCTTCCAAAGATGCCTCCTCACTCATCCGGCCTGTGCTTATCTGGTTGGTGTTACCGTCCCAGCAGGTCAGCAGCACGAAGCGAACGGGTTTTTCCAGCCAAATTTAAACGGGAAAAAACCACACGCCGTAACAGGCACAGGCCTAACCTCTCTCCCTCTCTCTCTAGTCTCTAGACGTGCAGTTGTATTCGCCGCAACCTCCTCCTCCCATCCTTGCGCCAGCGGATTCCTTGGCCTCGCGGAATTCTCCTGGCCTCCCGAGCCTCCCCTGCTCGAGAAGGGAGCTTCCGGTGACGTCGCGGCGCGAAGGGCCGGGTCGGACCCTTGGCCGTTGGCCCCGAGGCGGGAGGGGGGCGCGGTTTCGCGTGGGGTCCGGTCCAGCACAGCCCGGCGCGCGCGGGAGCAGCTCTGATTCGCCGGGGGGAGGCCGCGGGGAATGCTCTACCTCAAGCTGCCGGCGGGAGATTTAGGGTTCCGACCGGGGGCGCCGCGGCGGGGATCCGGCGGCGGCGGGGCCTGAGGGTGGCGCGGGCGGGCGATCCGGCTGGGGCCGGCCGCGGGCGGCGGAGGCGCGCCCGCCATGGAGCACGACGCGGACCGCGCTTGCCTGCAGAGCTTCGAGCTCCACGAGAGCGAGTCGGTAAGCCTACCAATGCGTGCGTTGCGCGGTGCGTGCTGAGGGAAGGGAACCATTCAGTCAGGCCTCCGGATCGGTTGATTGATTCGGTATGGGCCAGAGTACGCATTCGACCCCCGTTGTTCGTGCTGTTCGGAATTGCCATTTCGCGTCGATTCGCGCCAACCGTTTTCTAGTCGAATCTCTTGTTGTGTCTTCGCCGCAAAACTTTGGTATTTTCGTATCATCCACCCTTGTGATGATTAGACAATAGCTTAGCTCCCTCTTCGACAATTAATCCGGAATACTAGCCCACGCATGGTATGGCAACATGTTGTGGAAATGTTCATCATACAGAACGTTTGATTGTTTTCGTTCTACTATATATACGGATTCACATCCAACTCTGATCTGCTGAAATATAAGTTAGATGCTACTTAGACTTTAACAATTTCTTTGATTGTAACAGAAAGGTCTCCCTATAATTCACATGTTATAATTTGCCTTCCACTTTGTTTGCTTTCTCGGATCTTGATAATCTTAGCACTAGGAGCTATGATAGATAATTGGTTTCTAAAGGCATGGACAAAGCAGATTGGTTTTCACCTCTGATCACGTCTGCAAATAAATGCCTAGTAAGACTATTAGCAATAATTGAATTATATATATACAGAATTGTTAACTACTATGAAGTTCGGTAAGGACATTGTTTAAGCAGTGCTGAGTAGAATCAAGTGGGAACGGCGAAAGCTTGGCTTGGTGAAACTTCCCTGTATCTATCTATAATACTCCATCCATTAATAAAAGGATACAATAACCTGTTGTTGGTCACTGTGTTTGCAATTCAGTCATCGAACTGTTGATTGAATTGATTAATTTATCCGTTCAATAACCGATGCAATTCCTTATCACATCTGACCCTAGTTCTAAGTATGATTTGCTTTACTTTGCAGAGACTTTTTACGTTCTAGGAACTAATTCTGACAGAACACTTTGGAGATTACTCAAGATCGATAGATCAGAGCCGTCAGAGCTTGTGATAGATGAGTGTTCTACTGTATATACTGAAAGTGAACATCCTGACTTGTTGAAGGGTCTTGATGAAGAGCACAGGTCAACTGGCGGAATAAAATTTGTTACAAAGTTCTATGGCATAATTGGTAAATGTTCTTTTCCTTGTTTGTTTTACAAGCCATGAATGAATTACATTTGTATACATATATTTGATGATGAATTTGTTTTCCCAGGTTTTATCAAATTCCTTGGGCCATATTACATGTTGATTATTACCGAGCAGAAAAGAATTGGTGAAATCTTTGGTCATCCAGTGTACCAGGTGACTAGGACTTCAATGGTTGAATTAGCAAATTCTAAGACAAGATCTACTTTTCAAAACTCCAAGGATGAGAACAGGTTTGTTTAGTTCCATTGTAGTATCAAACTACCAAAAGTACCAAACTGTATTACTACTTTCATCATTAACTTAAAATGGTTGGGCTGATCGAGGAAAAAAATATTGTGTGAAAAATGTCATTGTTGCTTATTTATTTTACGTTTTTTGTTTACACAATCTAGCAGTAGAAAAACTATGAGTTATTGTCTAGCATTGTTAAGAACTCTTTTAGCCCCCATTCCTCTTTTGTATGCTGTGCCCTCAAATGCCACTGTCTGAAGGATCCATGTTGTCAACTATACCAAAGGAGGTTTATTTCCTTTGTAATTCGTAATTTAATTTCTCCAGATCTGCAGCTAACTATGTATAATACTATTTCTTTTGAACTAAGTAATGAATTGTTAACAATCTTTCCCACTTTTCTTCTGCTGACACTGCATTAGCGCAGTTCTTAACAATAAGCCAGCTCTTTTTGTAATCCTGCAGATACAGGAAGATCTTGAATGCACTTGATCTTAGGAAGGATTTCTTTTTCAGTTACTCATACCACATTATGAGAAGTCTTCAGAAGAACTTGACTGATCCACAGGATGGATGGACCTTATACGAGACAATCTTTGTCTGGAATGAGTATCTTACACGACGGATCCGTAATTGTCTCAGAAATACTTTGTGGACTGTCGCATTAGTCCATGGTTTCTTTAAGCAGGTACATGCTTAAGAAACTAGTTTCCTTTGAATTAGTACTCACTTATTAAGGAGAAAATACTACAAATGCTTTTATTCCAAAAAAGAGGCACAACAATAGTCATGTGCGAGCCTGTGACTGGGTTCGTCTAGCTGTTCTGTCTACCAGGATTACATTGCTTAGCATTGGTTCTCTCTTTTTCTGTACCCAGTCATTGCAAAATATATCATTATTAGATTCTGCACCTGAATCTAAAAAGCCCTTCTGTCTTGTGTTTAGGATAAATTCTCAATATCTGGCAAGGATATTATGCTCACACTCATTGCTAGACGATCGAGACATTATGCTGGAACCAGGTTTGTGCTTGAAACTTATTTGTTAAATAAATTGTCTCTTTTTCTAGTTTGGCACGATATTTGGACTTAGTTTAACGGATAATGAACAGATATCTAAAGAGGGGGGTGAATGAGAAGGGAAGAGTAGCAAATGACGTTGAGACTGAGCAAATTGTCTATGAAGCTGTGCCTGGACCTACTGAAGTAAGTTCTGTTGTGCAGAACAGGGGTTCAATTCCACTATTCTGGTCACAGGAGACATCAAAATTGAATCTTAAACCTAATATAATATGTAAGTTTGAAAACCTTACTATGATGCACCCATCATTTTCATCAACTCCACAAGTAAAACTTCCCCATTTTGTCAGTGCATGAGATGCAGAATAATTATGAAGCTACCAAGCTTCATTTTGAAAATCTTAGAGCAAGATATGGAAACCCTATCATTATCTTAAACTTGATTAAGGTGAGTTTACCTTCTTATTCTGGAGTAGCAGCGTCTTGTCATTGTATCTGCACATGAATGATGATTTTCTGTATGCTGCTGTTATGGTTGTCATTGTTATTTACTTGGAAGACACGTGAGAGGCGAGAGTCTATACTTCGCCGAGAATTTGATAAGGCGATCAAGATAATAAACAAGAGCCTGTCAGAAGAGAATCATCTGAGGTTCTTACATTGGGATCTTCATCAAAACTCTCAAGGGTATTCATTGTTATATTTCACGTTTCCTATCTGTCTTTGTTTGGTAGTGTGTGTTATTGATGTAGCTCTGTTTCAGAAAACCTACAAATGTACTCGATGTCCTTCTGAAAGTGGCATTTCGGGCTCTGAATTTGACCGAGTTCTTCTATTGTCAAGTTGCACCAAGTTCTGAGACTTCCACACAATGGCCCACCCTATTGTAAGGCTTTTTCCCCAATTCTAGTTTGGTTCACTCTCTGTTGCATGCTACCTCAAGAGTTGATACTATTTTTCTTTGAAAAATTAATCTGTTTTCTCATTCACGCTTTACAGGAATGGTCTTGATCCATATTTATGTGATGACAACAATAGTGACGACACTGAATGCACTGAGATTGTTGGTGATGTATCCCAAGAGGATATCTCTGGCAGCTCTGATTCCTCTGGTAATGCAACCGCAGAAGACAAATTTGAGAATAGTGGACTGCCACCGCCAAAACCACCAAAATTCCAAAAAGGTGTCTTACGGACAAACTGTATAGATTGCCTGGATCGTACAAATGTTGCTCAGTATGCATATGGTTTAGCTGCTCTTGGACATCAACTGCATGCGCTTGGTTCTGTAGAATCTCCTGAACTAGGTTTAGAAGCTCCCTTGGCCCATCATTTGATGCACTTTTATGAGAGGATGGGTGACACACTTGCTGTACAGTATAGCGGTTCTGCTGCTCATAACAAGGTAATTTGTGGCATGTTCTTTGGTTGTAATGCTAGGAAGGGAATATATCTGGTTGGAAGTTGTTAGAACTGGTTAATTCATTAGCTTAAGTTGCAGTGTAGCACGTGAGCATACTGAGATGCTTGCTTTGTGCTTTACTCTTTCATGAGTAACTGTTTCCAGCATATACTAGAATTGACAATGAATGGGCTTGCTTGTTTTCATACCATTGTTTCTATTGAAAAGTCGAGCTACTATCTCATACAAGGAAAGAAAAATGCACTACAGCTCTATTTATTTAAGTGACATCTGCAATTTGCACCATAGACAGATTTCCAAGATGCTGTACACAAACTGTTCTCGTGAGCCGTGGCAGCTGCTCCTGGTTGAAATATAAAATTGGAACTTGAACGGTGACACTAAAATGGTAGCACATTGTATAATTGTCCTACAGTTTTTAAATGCATTACTGTTCTCTGAACCTTGATGAAGGCTAATCATGGCACTGGACATAGCTGTGTGCAAAGTGGGAAAAGTCATGCATAATGAACAATCTTTTTCATTGTTCCAATCTCCTAATAGGCTAATAACCTACCAGTTCAATGATCAAGCTAAAACAAAATGGGCCCATTTAAAATGCCACATCTCCAACAAGCAAAGCTACCAATCCTCTAATGAGGATTAAACCTGCATTGCTTTGTGGCATGTTGTCTTTTTTCCTCTATGCTATGTTTTTGTTTCAGCATTGCTCTAATTTTTTCTGTGCTGTGTTCTTTTCTGAAGGTATTCTCTGCAAAGAGAGGTCACTTGAAGCTTTTTATTCAGTCACAAGAGTTCTTTAGGACACTTCAGCGGCACTACAGCAACACCTGTATAGATGCTAACAAACAGGCTGCTATAAACTTGTATGTTTTACTGGATATCATTGTTTGTTTGGCTAAGTAGTCTGTTTCCTTTATTTTATCTGTCGTAGTGTGGGCGTGAGCGGTGTTTTGATTGGTTTGTTATATATATCACGTGGTGTTCGCCTTCTTGTATTTCAGGTTTTTGGGATACTTCCAGCCACAGCAGGGAAAACCTGCACTATGGGAATTAGAATCATCTTCTGGGGAGCATAACAATGATCTTTTTGATGACCAGCCAAGGTAGATCAAGAATATATTTAATGACATAGTACATCAGTTGTTGAATATTGTCATGTTTTGAGATAATTGCAAGGACATTCTGATGCATTCATTGTACTTGGAAGTGTCTAATACTAACCTCTTAAGTCCGTAAAATGTAGGACTGCATAGTGGCTGTACATGATCCATTAAGCGCCTCATATTTGTGTGTTCTATTGTTCACGTAATTCCTTTTCATGTGTTTTGTCCACCCATAGTATATTATTTAATATCATCTCTGCCTATCTACCTCTACCTAATATTAAAGAGCGAAGAGTTTCTTCCAATCTACTTTTTTATTCCCAAAATACCCTTGCGTACTCCATGTTCCGTATGCGACCTAGATTCACGTCCTGTGCTCATACGAGCTAGAACGACCTGCATGCAACGATGGTACGGAATCCGACATCAAGACGTAGTGGGTCCCATTGCAGCGCATGGGCACGTTTGCTAGTCATATGCTGATGTCCAGTTATTTTTTTATATAAAAGATGTTTGTATTCAATGTACTAGATCCAAAAAAAATTCCAGGCTATATGGTTTCTTTATGATGTTGCAGTATTTCTTCATGTTGTACTGAATATGTGCACTTATGAAGTCACTAACAAGTAGAGCTTCAATGTTCCATTTTCATTTAAAAAAAAAGAGAAATGGTGTCTTCATTAGTTTATTACATGATATTGTAAATTTTCATATTTTTTCTTTTGAAAAGAAACTTTCAAAATTGTCTGTAGCCATTGTTGTCTGGTTGAGTTACTTTTCCTTTTACAAAAAAAAGGCTTTGCCTTGCACTAAACTCCCTTGCAAATTGAACTAGACAATCTGGAGATATAGGGTCTACGGAACCATATGACCGAGACCTTTTCTTTACAGTTTATCCTGCTTAGACTGAGATATTCCATTTATCGATCCTACTTCCATGTCGGCCATTTTGTGTATATTCTTCTTGATCACAGTAAGCATAAATTGAGGCCTCCTTGGGCAAGCTTAGTTTATAGGACTGAACAGTCCATCTTTTGCATGGCAAATTAAATCTCCTCCTGTTTGAACTTAATTAGCTGACAATGCTATGCTACTTTGGAATACACAAGGGTGTCTTAATATTTGTACACAACCATCCAAGCAGCAATTGAGCATCTTGAATTCTTGATATAGGCTTGGTACTGCAGTGCAGCAGCTAAAAATACTCTCGATGATTGAAGTTCTTAGATGTATTACAAAAAATCTTGCAGAATATGTTTGAATTTGCAGCACTGTGATTATTTATGTTGAACACTCTAATGAACACCATGAGACATGAGGACCTCTTAGGATATTTGAAGAGAACCCAATTTTATCTTGAAGCATGCATGTGGTGACTTAGCAATATCCTTATCATCGACTGTTTATTTTGATGTCACAGTACATTGAAAAGAGTAAAATCAGATGGCACCATTCTTCATGAAAGCAATGCTTCTATATCTGGCTCTGGTCATTGCCATAATGAACCGTTGAGTGCATCGCAGCCTGATGTCCAGAATGGATTTCAATTCCCAACTTCAGAAACTGATTCACTTCATGAACATGAAATTTCGTCAGCCTGTGGAAGTGGGGTATCACACCTAAGGTTTGTTTATGCTTGTTTAGTTTTTTTACCTTCATTTATCTTTACTGATAGCAGGAAAAAAATACTGAGGTTGCAAGAATTTGGTGTTTCAAAATTAATATGAGATTTCCTGGTTACATATGACAATTTATTTGTTCTCCAAATTTTGTTATAGGTATACTCCCACAGCCTCTGATGTGCTTCATGTCCCAAGAGCTGAAGTTGAATATTACCATGATTCTGGTGATTCAAACTTTCTGGATCTTGAATGGCTTTCCACTTCAGGCAACTCAAGTGATGAAAGGTCAAATTATCAGTTTTTACTTTATCTTATATAACTCTCTTCTCATGCATTTTTGCCATCGGTAGGCTTAAAGCCTTAAACAGAAATTTCTCTTTATTGTGTTATATATATGCACCTTTCTTTCTTTTGGGACTTGGGCTGGGAAAATTGACAAGGGAAAAGGAGAGAGATTAAGGATAATTATAACTTATCTCTGCTATTATTTCTGTTGTGCTTAGTTCCATAAGTCCATATGCATGCAAAGTTCCCTTGCTCTTGCAACCACATAGCTAGCCCTGTACTACTAACCAAAGACATGTAGGATGTTTTTTTTTTTAAGAAATAGGAGGGCACACCCCCTGCTGGGGGTTATCTACTGGTTATATATTAAAGAAAGAAAAGAGAACAGATTTGCACAATCCTTTGGTAACATTTGATATGATCTTATACGCTGAAAACCACATTGTATATATTTTATTTTCATGCGCCTTTTGTTCATCCAGTATTTGGTTATTGTTGCTGCTTTGAAGACATCAATAGAAATAAATTCTTTTCTCACCTTTCTTGGTCAACTATGCTGGAACAGGTCTATTGCAACTAGCACGCCAGATGTGAACCTATCAACTGAGAATGTCATTAGTGGCATAGCTCCTGACATCATGGTGAGGAAATGGCCCCCAAAATCTGTACTGTCTATAAAACAATCCTTCTCAGCATGTTTGGTTTGGAGAATGAGTTAGTCCATCATCTATTTATTCCTCACTTTTTTTTTGTTTGGTTTGTGGAATGGAATAGGTTGGTGCATCATCACCTCATTCCTCATAAGCTAATAAATATTAAATAGTACTAGTATGAGAAATGAAGTCATTCCACCAAATTTGAGGACTGAACTCATGATGCACTACCTCATCTATATTGCTTTTCAGGAAAACCATCTTGCTGAAATGCAGTCTCAGAAGCTACCTCGGAATTTTGTGCAGTGGGTTAATGACAGTGATACCTTTTGGTATTAAGATCGCAATTATTGCAATTCAGTGATATATCGCCAGCTACCTAGAAGACCCAGCTTCCCAGGGTGGTATTAAGATGGATCTGAGTAGTAGATTAGAGAGTGATATGGATGTTGCAGCAGTCAATGCATTTCTCCCGTGATATACTCTGCACCATCCCAGAGTCATTTAGGGAAGCATTATTGGTTCACATGTTTTTTTACTATGAGTGAGTAGATAGATATGTTTCTTTTGAAAGAAAATAGAGGTAGATAGGCTTATTATTGTTGACCTGAAACTGTATCATTATTCATGGGAACATGCCATTTTTCTTGTGTAAATATATATGCTTGAGGTGCCTTTGGTGGAGGTTGTGAGGAAAACACTGCTTTTGTTTCCCAACATCTTTTTTGTTGTGTTCTTGTGAAACATTATCTAAAAAAAATGCAGTTTGATTCCCTATATGGCTATACCATAACCTTTAGCACGAGAACATATTCTGATACCCAAAATATCATATTCTTTGTTAAAGGCTTAATTTTGTCATTGGCTTATACTTATATCTATTTCCAGCTGATGCATGCTTAGCTCAAGTTGTGTAATAAGAGTGTTATTGAAGTAATAAAATTTAGTACTCCTGTTCCCATGAAACAAATGCACTTCTCTTTGTGATATATAGAGGGTTAATGTAAGACGACTCTTACCAAAAGAGGTTGGTGTCTTTTGTTCCCTCACAAGGTAGAGAAAACCGGCCTTGGTGGCTGATTTCAGAATGAGCCTAGGCTGGTTTCAACATTTCGACAGCTCAGCCTCAGCAAAAACGGAAACGTCTCTCGAGGAGCCCATTGGAGAGACACAGCTAGAGTTGTTTTATGTCAGCAAGGCCACTTAGAATGTCTACAGATTTCATTGAGAAGTGCATAACAGTAGGATAATAGATTAGTTTTGTTTTGTTTTTGATCGTTGGATGTCCTCAATCGACCTTCATAGGGTGAGGTCAAATTATCCCCAAGGAGTCAACAGCCTGTTCGGGAGGCCGTATCGTATCGTGGATTATTTACTGCTGGCTGGTTTGGTGTGAGAGAAAAACACTGTTCCTGACTGGAAATTTACGATCGTTTACGAGTAAGCGAACAGGCTGCAAAATCCCTAACATGTTTGGCAGAGCTCCTGCCTGTCGACCTCGGGCCGACAGGGAGCCGGAGCCGGTTTTCTCTCCCCTTTTTACTCCTCTCACAAACCCAGGCGGAGCTCGTTTTTGGGCTCCGGCTCCGGCTCCGCTCCGCTTGGCACGTATCGGCCCGTGGGCGGCCGATAGGGGCGGCAGCCAGAGCCGCAGGAGCCCTGCCAAACAGGTCCTAACTCGGTCTAGACTACCAAAACCGGCTTAGCTGGTTTCCAGGGGCTAAAACTTCCGGAAACATAATTTTCTCATCCGGCTCCAAATCTGGACACACACATATACTGTTTTGCTATAATATACCTGGGTGTATCCTGTATATAGAATGCACCCAGGCCGGTGGGCGCACCAACTTAGAGCAACCAACGTGCCCAAGCGAATACATGCATGCATGGAATTTTTTGTTGGTTCGAATCTTTGAAACAAATTTTCTCCTAAACCGTAACCCTGAGTGACAAATCGTTTGTTGTATCCGACTCAAAAAAATATTCTGAGCAAAACTAGATCCAATATGGATATATTTTTTATCCTTTAAACGAGTTGCATGTCAATATACTACCGATTGCAACTCTATCTACCACCTAGTTGCAACTACTAGATTATAATTAGTTGCAACCAGTGCTAAATACGTTACAACCAAGTTGCAATTGTGTTGTAGAAGTGCTTGCACCTCATAGTACAACATATTACAATTACGTATTTGAAAAAAAAACTTCATCAAATACAGGCTTCATTGCAACCAGTGTTAAATACGCTACAGCTAAGTTGCAATTGTGTTGTAGAAGTGCTTGCAACTCATAGTACAACATATTGCAATTACGTATTTAAAAAAAAAATTTCATCAAATACAACCTTCATTGCAATCGGTGCTAAATACGCTACAACTAAGTTGCAATTGTGTTGTAGAAGTGCTTACAACTCATAGTACAACATATTGCAATTACGTATTTGAAAAAAAAAACTTCATCAAATACAGCCTTCATTGCAACCAGTACTAAATATGCTACAACCAAATTACAATTGTGTTGTAGAAGTGCTTGCAATTTATAGTACAACATATTACAATTACGTATTTGAAAAAAAAAACTTCATCAAATACAACCTTCATTGCAACCAGTGCTAAATACGCTACAGCCAAGTTGCAATTGTATTGTAGAAGTGCTTGCAACTCATAGTATAACATATTGCAATTACGTATTTGAAAAAAAAACTTCATCAAATACAGCCTTTATGGATCTCGTTTTGTTAAGCATATTTTTTTCAACAACCTACTTCAAATAGAACTAAAATCGGATATATAGTTTAGAAGATATCACATTTTTTTGTTTGGAATCAACAAAAGATTCCCTGCACGTAGAAGCGTGTTAGGTGGCATCACGTAAGAACGGCTGGCTGATTGTTTGCATGCAGGAGCGTGGACTCACCTTGTGCTCGCCGCTCGCGCTCGCGTGTCGGGTGCACTCGCTTCACAGAATGCACCTAGGTGCATTTTAGCCTCGTCCTATACTGTTTTGCTATAATACATCTGGGTGCATCCTGTATATAGAATGCACCCAGACTGGCAGGCGCATCAACTTGGAGCAACCAAGCGCGCTCACGTGTCGGGTGCACTCGCTTCATAGAATGCACCCAGGTGCATTTTAGCCTCGTCCTATATATATATATATATATATATACACACACGTACTGTTCTGTAGCTGGCCACGGAATGAGTTATTCTGTGGCCACTTTTAGTTACGATAATTACTATACTAATTTATGAGATTACGGTAACTCCCTCATATAGTATTATGATAAGTATCATCTTGAATTATAGTAATTCATGTATCGTAAATGTGTATTGTCATTATCGTAAATTGATATAAACATTATCGTAAATCAAGGTGGCCATAAAATAAGTTATTCTGTGGTCAGCTGTAGAATAGCCTTACCGTGTGCGTATATATATATGAATTTTGATTGTCGACTAGAGGAACGCAATAATAAAGTCAACTATATGCAATTTGAAGAATTTTCCAAAACCAGATTAGCTGATTTTTGAAACCGGCTTAGGCGATTTCTTATGGATCTTCCCAAAAGTGCAATGCCCTCGTGCGGACTCCAAATTCAGCTTTCTGCATATGCATTTCAATTGTCTCAATGTGACGAATCCAACGGTTAAGTCCAATTGCAATTTGAAAAACCGGCTAAACTGCTTTTCCTAAAACTAGCCCGAGCTGCCAATTTTGAGTGCAAACTTTGACCGTTTGAGGGTGCCTTCAAGGGATCATTTTCCATGAAATTTCCTCTTAAAACTCCTATCACTGGGTAACCGTGACTATTTCCTGCTTCGTATCGTCGGTTGTGGTTGCAGTGCAGATATCATGTCTTTACCTCCTTTGAAATCTGTTCAGCCTTACAAGAATGCGTTGTTTTTCTGCTTACCCTGACCTCTATGCTTAATCAGAAGTAATTCAATGAATGGTTTTAATTGGCGTTAAAGTACTTGATGAAGCTTCCATACCACGCCATGATAATTTATCCCACTGAATTCTGTTGGCCGTTCAGTGGTATGGAAATAGTCACTGAATTCTATTGACCCCGTTTAGCTGGTATACACGTTGTACATACTTCCGGTATTTGGTTACCTTTGCCTTTATGCTTGATAGATCAAACCATTGGAGTCTGTATATATTTGTATTGTTAGCTTAGTTCTCCCGGCAGTGCGAGACTGTTACAGCTACTAATTTTTGGTCATTTTCATAAAAAGGAGGATGAGGCTGATTTGTAAGCAGGAACTCATATAGCACAAGTAACTCATAGGTGAACTGCTGTTACCTTTGTTAGACCGCGGTTGATGCCAGCCTAGCTATCATCTGGCTTACTGTCCTTCACGCCCAACCCATAAATCTCTACTCTGTCGTATGCTGTTACTAAGGTATTTATTTTCACACAATTCATAGCTGCTATTTGATGCAAGTCTTATTGGTGTTAACCATCATTAAGCGATTACTCTTTGGATATTTCTTTCTTAAGTTGATTTACAGACTACAGGAAACTTGTGTTCCTTAACATTTTGCCATGTTAGTTGGCAAAGATTAGTTAGTATGAAAGAATACATATACCTTAATGTCCAAGCAACATAGCTGTTGACCGTTTATACAACCTAACCCATTTGCTATCACAAACAGTATTAATTTGTGTAGCAGATGAAGAGGATCATGTCCTGTCGATTTTGTTTTGGAAGCACGTAATAGTCGCAGTAAGAAAGCCTAAAAGTAGTTGTGGTTCCAGTTACTTTGCTTAATTACGTACCATAGTATACACATTGCCGTTTGAGATTTCTTCCAGTGCACTATGGATTCCCAAATAACTTTTTTCTGTGGCCAACTTATCAGTCGCATTTCACTATGTGTGATGGCCAATCTTGCTTCTTTATATCTATCTTTCCAACATTATCATGTTGTTATTTGAGTAATGTTGCCAGCCATTTCACAATAGCAGCATTCCACATATATAGCCGCTCGGCAACGCCGCACGTTGCTTTCTAGTAGGAGTAAGAAAATCGAATGTGTCCGTGTGGGCGACGGGTTACTTTATGTAAATTTAGAGGTTTTTTATGCAGAAAAACAGTGAGGCTTATCTGGATCCGAACAAGATGAATTTAAGGGAACTGACCATAAAAAGGGCGATGTGACCACAACAGCGAGTGATTTCTGAATTGAATAACGGGTGCTGGCATCATCAATATAGTGCAGTGCAGTTGTTGAACTGCATTGAGTGAACTCCTTTTTAAATAGACTATAAACAGCAGATATGGCATATATGTTCGCTTGCTCGTAAACGATCGTAAATTTCCAGCCGG